ACGGGGTAGAGGGCTTGGAGAGGTGTGAAACCAACAGAGTAGACGGCACCGAAGATGAAGATGAAAGCGAGGGAGGCGGTACCGGCTGCGTGGTTGGTGCCGACGGATTTGGGGTCTGAGGGGTCCGGAATGGATTCTTGGTAGAGGGCAGCGGAAACGGTCATGGCGAGCCAGACTACACAACAGCCTGTGTGGGTATTGATGTTAGTAGAGGTTTCTTCGATAATGTGTTGGGGAGAATTATTTACCAATGTTAGAGAAGAGAAGAAGAGGACGACGACCAATACGATCAACCATTGCGGCACCGAAGAGAGCCCAGCAGAATTGTTGACAATTGTTGATGAGAATGACATTTGCTTGGCCGATAGCACTGTCAATACCGATGGTCTCAAGAACTTTGCCCATGAAATATGACAAGACAGCTGAATTTCATTAGCTAGACTGTTTTTGGGCAGAGAATTGCAGAATACATACCATTTCCGGCCCATTGACCAAAGATCGTGATACTGACGTTACAGAAGAGACGGTAGCAAGTCGATCTGTTCTTGAAAAGCGCTCTGTAATCCCACCAACGCTTGTCGGCACCGTCCATTTCCAAAAGTTCTTCGTATTCGTTGAGTTGCAATTTGACCCATACACTGTCTGTATTTCCTTCTCCGTGGTATTTGGTAAGCATCTTTTTGGCTTGATCGCGTTTGTTATTGACGTAGAGCCATCTTGGGGATTCGGGAAGGAAATAAGCGGAAATGAAGATGATACTGGAGAACATCAATTGGATCCAAATGATAAGTCTCCATGATTCGTCGCCTCCAATGTTGCTTGCTCCACGAGCTACTCCACTAGCAATAATTGATCCAGTGAACCTAAATCTGATTAGACAAACACTGACAAAAGTTTCATACTAAACTTACCAAAAGCAATTGAAGATAGCTGTAACTACACCACGGTATGCTGGGTGAGAAACCTCAACAACATACATGGGACCAGCGGCGGAAGCGATATTGACACCGAAACCAAGCAAGAAACGACCACCCATGAATTGTCTTACACCTGCTTCTCGGGTTGCAACTCCTTGAATGATCGTACCGAGAATAATGCAGAGACATCCGAGCCACATTCCAAATCTTCGTCCGAAAGTATCGGCTGCGGGCCCAACGAATGGTAATGAAACTACACCACCAATTTGGTACATGGAAGTAACGATACCAGCCCAGATTCCAGCATTTTCACCGTGGTAGAACTCGAGAAACCAAGGGTTGACAAGTAAATTGTTGATGAGCGATCCATCGTAACCGTTCATGGTAGCACAGAAAAATCCGATAAAACAAGCAGTGTAGAGTTGGATTGTTGACCACGTGAAGGCCTTGGGGGGCTCCTTCAGCATTGCCTCGTTGAATGTTTCATTTCCGAGAACGACTTTGGCTCCAACTTCGGCATGTTTCTGTAAATTCAACTGAGGTTAGAATCAATCTGTGAGGAAATCGAATTGGAAATCCTCAATCATACCTCATCGTCACTTCGAGGGTGAGCGAGCTCGGCCTCCTCGTACTGAGTATTTGTCTTCTCCGCCATGACTTCCAATTTTCTGCCAAACAAGAAATAACTATGACAATTGAAAAAGATCTATTGATCTGAGAGAGGGATGAGGTTCCAAAATCAACGGAATATGCTTCACTTATGTATTGTAACGATGGCAATCTTGAACCCTGTCAATGGGCGGCTGGCCTTGTCCCCTCGTACAGCCATAATAAGCATACTCTCAATAGCGGAGAGCTAAATAATCTTTGGAACCAATCTATACTCCAACCCCGGATTTTCGGGCAGGCATTCCTGGTGTGCTTTTCTTTTCCAATAAAAAGATGCCATACAACTTTGTGGGGTCCGGGGTCGTACATTATGCAAGTATACTTTTCACAGCATTCACAAGGACTTCGGATCCTTGATCCTTTCGTTTGCACGTATGATTCTTATCCCATTATCGGCTGGCCGTCTCGAGGCCGTGAGGAGGCAAAAAAATGTCAACCCTTGAGAAATATCAGAACTGCTGATTCGAAGACGTGTTTCCCAGTACAGAAGTCATTTGCGGAGTAACTACCCCGTGTTCCAGAAAGGGAATAAGCTGACAACGCCTGACATGCCATCGAGCTGATTTTTGGCGAGATTGGCTTTTTGGTACCCGCTTGTCACCTGTATACCAAGCAATGCTTAATACACTTTTCCACGAATGAACATCCCATCTTACGACAAGGGATTGAAAGTTTCAAATAGAATAATCACGCTTCTGGTTAAAACGGGTTCTTGATGGAGGTCTGTGATGGATCATTATTCGGTCCAGCTCTCTGCTTTTCCTCGTCTGTCTTCTTTGGGGTTTCGTTTGTATTTGGTGGCGTTGAAACGAGCGATGGGTGTTTTTTTGAAGCGTTGCAGTGTCAGTTTGTACAGTGAGACATTGGGTGATATTTTAGACTAGGAAAGTGTTAATAATATAGTGTGATATCACGTGAATGTCATGAGTTGTGCTTTTATGTGAGTTGTGTCTGTATCTCGTGAGGTTGACCAATCATTGGTAAGGTTGATGGCTCATTGCCGCCTACTAGTGCTAATCTGGGGAAACTTTGTTTTTGAGAGACAGGAGGGATTTTCTCGTAGTAAGTACTTTAGTTCATAGGACAGTGCATGCTACCTGCGCGACATGCTTCTAGAATTCACCACCATTACAACTACTTCAATGCATCGATCGACAACTCAACAACATTTCAATACTAGTTCTTCCTTCGACAAATGAATCCCCTTCTCAATCCCAACAATACCTCTCTAACAAACGACAACATTCATTACAGATTCCCAACCAACACACCATCTGCGGCGCAGCCGGTGCACCTCTCATCTTGGCCGCAAAGCCTAATCTCGATTCAAAAGTCCCATCCCGACATGCACATCTATGCATCCATCCACTTTTCAACCAATATATCCTCCGTCCCAAGCAAATTTGTCAAATTGAGGAAACCATATTCTCGGGATTCTGTGCTTGTCGATAATCTAGACTTAGAGCTTGGGAAACCGAACACGGTTAAGATTTCTCATCACAAGCTCCGTCGTCGATTTCGTATTAGATAAAAAATACCCGTCTTCGCCGCATTTGCAATTTTGCCTCCCAACAATTAGATCAGTTGCTGAGGCTTTGAGCTTTGATATACACATTCGATTCCTTTTTCCAGGGTTGATTCTCCGCACGCACGTACAAATATCAAATTATCAAAGTGACGGGAATTTGGGAATTTGGGGTCTCCAGATTTTAATGGATGGATAGATGGATCAGCCGACTAGGTTCGGAATCCTTTGCCGTTATTACTCGAGTTATTAACCTCAATATCCACAAACCTGCAGTAGGACAAATTCCAGATCCTACTCTGTACTTTGGATCGGTACAACCGAGGCATGTGGACTGGGATAGGTACATGTGCATGTGGTATTCTAGCTACGAAGTATTGTGAAAAGCAAAGAATGATATACAAGTGTTTGGGAGAGAGTTTTTGCAAGAGAAGACTGATTAGATTATGTTGTAATCTGGAAAAATTTAGATATTACTACTCACTGATTGTATATTCAAAACTCCAGATATTACTATTGTAATATATCTAACTCCAGATTTGGAGGTTGGTAAGTGAAGAATGGTACAGGTAAGTGATTAGTGATTGTTGAAATCTAGTTTTTCAAGAAGACGAACCTATATCTATCTACCTAGCTAATCTCTCATACCATCCATATTCGAACCATTACCTATTCCATCAATACAAAACAGGACATCGAACGTCGAACGTCGAAGATCGAATATCGAGCATCAAATATCGAATATCAAATATTGAACATCACCACATCAAGACGAATACCTAGCATCAAATCCACCTATGGCAGATTTCTCAAACATACACCTCTTCACCTCTCTTCTCTCCTCTCTCCTCTCCCCTCATCTTACCTCAACGAAAGGTTCATCCAATCTCGACATCTTGCCCCCGATTACAATCCCAACTCAGCAGTCCAAAGCCAAAGTCAAAAACAAACCAAACAACACACAAATACAAACGCAAATACAAATTTCCCTATATCATCACCTCACCTCCATTGATAGCCAGTTACTGATCTCCAGAGCTATACTATTCCGCCACCTGGACTGTTTAGCATAGCTATCTGCAGAACGTATCAAAGTAGCTGGTGAGTATGTTTCCACTTAAGATAATCTCCTGCCTACGTACCTAATGAGTCCCTAATACGTATTTCTTCCGAATTCCGAATTCCAAATGTCGCTATGTAGAAATGCAAATATGCAAATGAGAATTATATCAATTAGCTAATACTGCCTACGATCTTAATCTCCTCTTTTTTGAACATCAACACAACCCACGTCTTAATAACACTTTCATGTGATACTAGAGGCACGACATAACATGTTGGTCTCAGTACTGTAACCGAAATAGCTGCTGAAACCACTGGCACAGTAGTCGCCCTTGGAGTCTAAGTTGCCGGCACATTTTACATTTGTTCGTTGTCGAAATGCTCTGAGTTACCTATTCATAAAGTGTTGGATAGGTCTCTCCTGGCGTTGTGGCAGCTTCAAGTTCGATATGGTACTTGAAGTAATCCTGATACCCAAATGTCGTATCCTACCTGAATTAGTATCACACAGAAGTGATATTGGACGCTGAGTTTTACGTTAAAAGACAATCAAGTAGGAAACTGAATTTGCTAGGTCGGAGCAACTAGTTGAGTTGAGCACAAAGCTTCATGTACCAAGGAAACACATCTTGTTCATATAGACCTTCACTTTTTTCTGACCATGTGATATTTCCGCGGGGGTTCCACTATGATCCGCTGATAATTGAGCCTAAGGTCCCCTGATCATATGGTAACTCTGTAACAAATCAATTACTATCTTGGACTTCAATGCTCTGGTGTTTTCCAAGCCAACCAACTTTGCTTTAAACTTTGATTTTTCAGCGCTGTTATCCCATTGTTACCCGAATACCTTTACTACTCAGCTTTGGGAGTGATCCCACAAATGCATGATAGGGATCAACATCAGATCTGTCGGTCTCATACAGACTAAGTTTTGGTCCGCGCGGACCGAAAAAAGCTGCAAGAACCATTGAGATCTCGGCATAAGCTAGCCTATGAATGCAAGTCGGCCTTCTGATGATTCTAATATTAGAAAGTGCCCTTACTCTGTACCTAAGCAGTCACGAGATCCTTTGGCAAACGGAACATAGTTCCTGAGCATTTTTGAATTTATTTCACCAAGCCATCTTTCAGGCTTGAAATTTTTTGGTTCTGGATATACATCCGGGTCGTAATGCATCAAATACGTGGACATGCCTACAGGTGTCTATTTTTGTATCAGTCTCATGGTGGTACACTTGGTGCACTGCTTCAAACTTACTCCTGGAGGTATAATCCATTCATGATATTGAAGTGCAACATCAGGTGAACAGCGAGGTAATCTATGCATTGAAGCAATGCTCATTCTACCTATGTTTAGTTTCACTAGCTTATCATCCCATGGATAGAATAACTGACCGTAAACCCTCCTTGATACACGCCTGTAAGTATGGAAGCTGCTGAAGGGTTTGGTATGATGGAATGTTTTGCGAGCCATCTTGGTCGATGGTACTTAGCTCTTCTGTGAGTCGCTGTCTAACATCCACGTTCAGGAGAATATGGACCACCAGGTGACCCATAGATCTGGCAACAGACATGGTGCCAGCCATCAGAAGAACTTGTGCTTCCGCTCCAAGCCGGTCAGTTGTGAGTTCAGAGGCTGGCAGGTCACTTGTCAACAAGTCATAGAATAATGTAGAGGGTGGACTTTCGTCACCGGAATCGGTATGCTTTTCTGTAGCCACTCTCTGCTTTACTCTATTTATGTATTCGATAGACATCTAAAAGCCATCTTAGCACAATCTTTCATCCTACTCAAAAGTATTTCGAGGTATTTTCTTGCGCTTACAGTTCTCCAGTTCATCAGCATTTCGCCTGAGAGGCTTAGCCTGACGACAAGTGATGCAGGAATTAGCTCGACAATTCTACATACACGAATATTAGCACACGGGCAATAACGGCTACTCTGTTGACAATACACACATGAAGATCCATGGAAAGTTCACAATGATCGGCGAAGAACGAGTTATCGTATGGAGTAAAGTAAACCTGTTATGATCATTGGGATATCATGCAGGCTGTTTTCCGTGGAATAGGCTCACCACTGGGGACAGAAATCAGGCTGTGATAGAAACGTGGAATTTTGGTTCTCAAAACAAACTTTGCACATGACTTCTCCGGCAAAAGCAAAGAGTGCGTGATCAAGCCGGACTATGGTATCTCTCTCGAGGTGCTCTTTTAGCTGAGATGTGAGACTCTGCACTAAGTCTATCAGTAGTGGATAGATCTTCTTGACTCCGGTACTCGTAAAAAAGGGCTCCAACGGTTTCCGCCGCTGGCGGTGAAGTTGATGATCGATCGTGATAGGATGAGAACCTGCGAGAAGTTAGGCCGATCATCTCTAAAAAGATGAAAGCAAATACCTTGAATACCCATACCTGCAGCAAATGCAGGATAGGCGGAAGTGGATCTTGTGTTGCTAGCGACATATACTGTTCTATAATACTCCGGATCTCTAATAGATAATTCATCGGGGTTAACTCTGACGATAGGACCTGATTTGAAGGGTTAGTGTAACCATATTTCTCAGCCAATTTTCTCACCATAGCGATCATGCAACTCCTCAATCCTGTACACGTAGGTGCCCTCATAGAAGTAGTCCCACGCTATTTCGTATAGGAATGTAATTGCACAAATACGGGGTCCAGGAAATCTCGCCAAAGGATGAAACCATATTCGATAAACAGCTATCAAGTGATAGTAGATTGTTAACAGAATAGTGAACCTTGTGAACAGATTGAGGACCGGAAGGTCTCCTAGAATGGAATGAAACCAATCCATGGTAATACCTGCGTATAGAACAAGAATGAGAAATGATCTTGTAGCGTCTTTCGCAAAAATCTACTTCAGGGGACTGGTGATTGTATTTTGAATAATTTTGGAGCATTTAGGGTCATGCGGGTTTGCTTATCTGTATTCCGAAATCATATTGATCAAACTACTCGTATGTAGTAGTAGTATGTGTAACTCACTGAAATGTACGATTCGATGATACGCACAACTTGCTGAATTGTATGATCCGGTGATCTAAGCTTGATACCTAATCTAAGTATCAAGACATAAGGTTCTTTTATATTGTTTTTACGTGGCTGAAAAGAGAAGTGCTGAACTTGTATAACTGTACGACTTCGTGATTTGGAAACCTTGATGAAATGCATAATGCATAATACATGATACAGTGATATATACGACCTGCTGAAATACACAACGCGATGAGATGGCATCAGTTGCTAAAATGCATGAATTAATGATATGTGTGGCGTGCTGATATCGTCAATTTCTTGACAAACTACATTGTTGAGATTATGATCAACGATGAGGTCTTAGGCTGTTGAAAAATCTCTCGAATACTGGATATAACTTAGCACTGTGCACGTATATATGATCTTCATCATTTTGACTATAATGTTGTGACATTTTCATCATGGAGTCATTTGTTCAATCGACATTTTCACCTCTGCTCAGAGAGTTGTTTTGCAGAGTTAAGAGGACATGTTCTCCTCAGATTTACGAGGCAGTATTACACGAAAGAGACGGTCTCCTCACGCGTGATGACGATTGCGTATCTTTCGAATCAACTGTTCGACAGCATTTCTATGAACAGCCATGGATCAATCAACGACGAAAAAGATTCGAAGCCATCGTTTTCTGTTCATGTGCAGCACCACGAATGTGGTTCTCTCCTCGTCTCCCGAGAGAGCTTGAGATTATGTACACTATCTATTTCATATACACATTCCTTGTTGATGATGAGGAACCTCAAGTTTCGGACTACACATCTCTAGTCACAATGGAGACTGCCCCGACATCGTTCATGGCCAGCTTTCGTTCTCACCTCGATACGATGAAGAAACATTTCTCTGACGAGGAGTATTGGTACTTCCTGAAAGGAGTTATCGACTTCATTCTGATGACGCGAATTGAGCATTTGCTTCACGGTCGTGTTCACACACTCTCTAAATCCTTGGTCCACTTCCCCTGGTGCTGGAAACAACTTGCTACTAATAGTCGGTTCTTCAAGTAGTCGGCCGTTTATGAGAGCCGACTATTAGTGCAGCACCTCATACAGCTATGGCTCTTCGTAAGCACTCAGACTTGGTCTCAAAAAAGCAAATCGAGTGCGAATTGGAGCGATACATGTCATTTGTCAATGATCTCTGTAGTTGGTATAAAGAGAGGGTAGTAGGGGACGAGGTGACATACGAAGAGATAAACTCTCACATTCAATCTGAGAATAGCCACAAAGGCTTACAACACCTTCTAGACGAAGCTATTGGGTGCATGGAACGATGTAGAGAGATCTGCTCGGACGAGACTGAGATACTAAAGTCAGTCGACTACTTCTTGGTTGGATATTTTCAATGGCATTTGGTCACTGGACGTTACAAGCTTGCGCCGTTTCTACAGGTAATTCGAACCCTTCTAGTTTAATATTTTGCACACACTGAACTTTCACATAGATTAATATATCAATGGAGACTGAGTCCTAGGGCATTGAAGTCAAAGAGCTTCATGAGATATACGCTCACGGTAACCGTGATTATCCCATCAAAATTATGATGGAACTTAGGCCGGATCTGATATCATCAGTAGTACTGTCTAGTTATATTGAAAGTATCAGCAAGTATCAGCTAGACTAGGAAGTTGTAATTTTGTATTTTATACTAGTTGAGGGGGTAACTATCAATTGATGTTACTGGACAGGTCTGTTTTATAATTAACAACAGCTAATGAGTACCAAACACAAATGGCCTCATATTCAGTTGTTAGATATACGTCCTGGGACAAAATATTTAATCTTAATTATAATCAAGTCACTTTCTCCAAAAGCAAAGAGTTCGAGGGCTCGTAGGGCCCTAGTAATTTAGAAGAAATAATTAAAAGTCCTTTGTATTAATTTTTTACTCTTACAAGATCACATTATATAATATCTAATATCTAATCCCTATTCCCGATCCGCACTTTTCAATTCTCTTTCTAAACCACCTAATAGTAAAACTAGTCACTCAATCAATCTATAAAATCTTCGTAAATGCAGTTGGAAATATATACATACCTACTTATATAAATTGGTCTATAAATCACCTTTACCTTTCTCTTTTTATCTTCAAAACAACTCAATCTATTTTATTTTATTATAATCTAAAGAATCTGATATTCATTTATCTACCTTTCTCCTTTCATCTCTCTCTCTCTTCTTCTCTCCTTTCTTCTTCTCTCATCTCTTCTTCTCTCTCCTCTTTTTTTCTTCTTTCTTCTTCTCTTTTTTTAATCAATCTATTTCATTTTATTTCATTTCATTTTATCTCATTCTATCTCATTTCATCTTATCTCATTTCATTCTATTTCATCCCATCTCATTCCATCTTATCCCATTTCATCTTATTTTATTCTATTTCATTCTATTTTATCCTATTTTATATAAACTCATATATTTATATACCTATATTCATTCTATTTAATCCATTTATCTTTTTATAACAAATCCCCACCAAACAAAACAAAAACAAAGTCTATTCAAGTAAAAATGAATTCTCATTCTAATTAATTCTTTTTACCTATTTATCTATCTATCTATCTATCTATTCATTTACTCATTCATTCATATACTCCAAATCACTACAATTAACTCAACTTTTATATATCTTCCCTACCTTCCCTCCTTTCCCTCCTTTCTCTTTCCCTCCTTTCTCTTTCCCTTTCCACCTCACCCCTCCTCTTCAAATCCATTCTCAAATTCATTCTCTATTTTTACAAATAATAAACCCAATCTAAAAATACTATGAAATCTCCTTCTCTCACTTACCCCCATCTCTTCCCTTACTCACTCCCTTCTCTCTCTCAACTACTCTCTTCCCCTCCCACCTCTTCCCCTATACACTCTCTAAAAATAATTAAAATCAATCTATTCAAACATCTCTCTTTATAATCATTATAAACATTTTAAAAATTTATCATTTGTTTTTTAAAAAAAAATAATCTATTAAATCCAATTTATTTATTTATCTCCTATTTTCTCTTTCTTTTCCCTCCTTTCTCCTTTCCTTTCCCTCCTTTCTCCTTCCCTTCCCCTCCTTTTTCTTTTCCTCCTTCCCTTTCCCTCCTTTCTCTTTTCTTTTTTGTTTTTCTCTTTTCCTTCTTTTTTCTTTTCTTATTCTATTCTATCTCATTTTATACTATCTTATTCTATCCTATCTTATTTCATACTATCTTATTCTATACTATTCTATTTAATCTTATTCTATTTAATCCTATTTAATTCTATTAAATCCCATTCCATTCTATTTAATCCCATTCTATCTAATCCCATTCTATCTAATCCCATCTCATTCTATCCCATCCTACCCTATTCTATTCATTTTAATATTATTATCCAATTATACTCTTCTCTCTTCTCTCCCCTCTTCTCTCCCCTTTAACATCTCTACATCTCTACATCTCTACATCTCTACATCTATACATTAACCCCATTAAATCACTTTAAAAAAAACTAGATATACAGTAACCGATAATTGAAAAAAGCCATAGCTCAAAAATATACCTAAAATAATCATTTATTAACCTTTTCAATAATATATAATTATTTGTATAAAGTATATAAGAAATATACTTTTATATATATATAATAAAGATTCGTTGATTATTTGATAAAAAATATATCTGTTACAGGGTATATATATAGTAGTAAGCTGTCAGGACTTCGATCCCTAATACTGTGCCTTTTGGATAGATTGCGTACGTGGCGTAGTGGTAAAGCTTACAACTATTATTGTGTTCGCTCCGTAACAATATCAAATATTTTTAAGATTTTTTTTGATTTTGAATTCATAGTTTGAAGTTAAAGCTTTTGAAAAAATATGAAAATACGCTAAATTAACTAGTAAAATTGTTATAAAATCGAATTTTTGAATTTGATTAACTTTAATTAATTGAATTAATACGAAATAATTTATTAAAAATAATTCATTTAATTTTTATTGAAATTTATATAAATTATTATACTATATTAAAATCTTATAATAATTAATTCAAAGGTATTCAGAATATCTAACTTTAAAAAGGATGAAAAATGACTATTTTTAGTGTGTTTTTCAGTTTCGGCTTATTTCAATTGTCTAGTACTGTAATACAAATACAAATATAAATATAAACATAAACATAAATACAAATACAAACACAAACATAAACACAAATATAAATACAAATATAAACACAAATACAAACACACAAAAGTAAACAAAACAATAGATCCTATTATTCTGAATATTCAATTAGTAATTATCAACTCTCAACTACCAACAACTGCCGACTACGAACACCTCAATTTTATTTTATATCGTATTTGCATCCATTCTATTTCCCTCCTCCCCTTCCCTTCCCTCCCCTCTCATACCATTCATTTCATACCATTCCTTTCATAGAAATCAATGCTTATAAAATTGACTATTAATCAATCCATCAATCCATCCGCACGTATATTCCCCCCTCCTCTCTCAGCACTTCTCCATAATTTAATTTAGCTTCCTTCATTCCTCACACTTCAAAAACACCCCTTTGCTCTTCGCTAAATTCCATTCGCATTAAATTCTTGAAAGCACCTCATTCACCCTCGCATTAATCCCTCATCTCCTTTCCAACGTAAACCCTAACAATCAAACTAATAAGCAGCACTTTGCCTATAAAAATCCGCCGGATTAGATGCACCCCCAGGTGGCGCACTAGGTGCATTAGCTAACCCTTGACTCGGTCCTTGATTACTATCACTACTATCCGGTCTCTGATACGCCTTATATTGCCCCTGGCTAGGCAACGTTGACCTCGCATCCCCTAATACCGGATATGAGCTCCCTTGAACTGGACTTGGCAACGAACCCGGAGGCGCTGGTGGTTCATAAGATGGCTGAGGAGGTTGTGATGGTTGTTGAGGAGGTTTATAAGCATTGTATTGTTGAGGCGGTTGAGATGGGGCTGGTGTGGCTGTATATGGGTCTGTCTCAGCGTATGCAGTATACGGATGAGGATTTTGTTGTTGAACGGGAGAATCATAGACAGAAGTTGCAAGTTCTTGTGGGTTAGAATATGTACTTTGGGGGCGGTGACCAGTTTGTGGTTGTTGGGTTGGGTATTGAGTTGGGGGAGGACTGCTAGTTTCAAGCGGGGGTGGTTGTGAGCCTGATGGAATACGAGGAGTAGGATCCCTTTGGGGGTATGGCTGTTGACTCTCTGATTGTGGAGGTTGCTGGCCGGGATATGGTAGATAGCTCTCTGATTGTGTAGGCTGTTGGTTAGGATATGGCTGATGACTCTCTGACTGTGGAGGTTGTTGACCTGGAGCTACAACGTAAAAAGGGGCCGGTCCATTACGTTGAGGAGGATAACCGTTAGATGGAGATGGTTGCGGCTGATATGGAGGTTCTGCATAGACTTAGTATGTTGATGTTTATTAAAATTTGAGTTCACTCACCTGACTGAGATGGTGTATAATATCGCTGTGGCTCTTGTTGTGGTCTTGCGGCTTGAGGAGGGTACCCATAACCTTGTGGACCTTGAGGTACTTGCCCAGGTCGACCATACTGATAGGGTTGTGCCTGTGTCATAGAGGCATCCAGTAAACTTTCATAATCACGACATGATTTAATGAATCTCTCATTGAGTTGTGTGAAATCGTCTAATGTATGTTAGTGAGCTGATCATGAGTCGTATTATTATACGAGTATTCAATTCCTACCTTTTCTCTGAGAGTACTTTCCAATAAGCTCAATAAGCTTTGGCCTAATTGCAAGAGTAGAATGGTAAAGTTTCTAAGTATGTCAGAAAGTGGCTGGAAAATGAGGACACCAAAAACTTACTGTAATTTCCTCATTATCACGGGCATCTAATTGAGATGATGAAGTACTCAATAATGTAAGTAGCTTCTCGACATTCTTGATTTCCGCAAAAACCTCGGCCTCCATTTGCGCTTCTCGCTGTAATTCTTCCGGTGTGGGATCGACCAATTTCTCGACATAATTCAATGGGAAGATACCAGTCTTCCCTCGTAGAGAGCCCCTCCACCAATCCTTATATACCGATCCTACAACTGTAATGATATCACCCTTTCGAAATTGTAACTCATCTGCATCTGTAGGTTGGAAATTGTGAAGTGCTCTCACTCTTGAGACAGTAGCCGCGGTGGTCCCAGATGGTACTTGTTGTGGCTGTGCAGCTTGTTGCGATTGTGCCGGACCTGCGGATGAATTGGATGGTTGTGCAGGTTTTGGCTGACTACTTTTGTCTTGAATGGATAATTTTAATGCCATCTGTAATTCATCTTCTTCCTTCTGACGATCCAGATCCGTGAGTCGATTCTTTGATGGGGCAGAAGGCGGATGTAAATTGGGATTCTGGCTCTTCAAGCGGTGGTACTGATCATTCATAATCCCCAAATCAGGGTCTTTAAACATTCCTGCCCATTCAGCCATCCGTTCCAGAATCTTTGCCTTGACTTGTTGATGTGTGTTTCTATCGTTCGCCAGTCTCAGTAGTGCATCCGTGAATGCTCTCGAAGCCAACTCTCTGTGCATTTTCGCTCCGCAATTTTGACTTAGAGCATTGGCAAGCTATATGGTGAATGTCAGATTTGTTGAAAGCGATTCCAGCTCACGCGCTGACCTACCTCTAAAGTATATAATTGCACGTTGGCATTTCGATGCGCCAACCTCTTTATCATGCTTGCAACGGCATCCTTAGCACCGCTATCTTCACCGGTTACTTTGTCGCAAACATCCATAATGTATTCCCAATTTTCCGAGGTAAGATTCTCGTCGGTCGCCTTAGCTATAGCATCCATGGATTAGCATCATGCTCAAGGCTTCATTCAAGATAACTGGGGATTCGAATGAAATCATAAGCTGTAACTTACCGACGACCTCGTCAAAGGCATTTTGTTGCGCGCGAAACATCGTATAAAAATTCCTATATTACTTAGATGTTTCAAGAAATAAATGTCGTGGGGATTTTGTGGTTATGAAGGTGTAGGTAATAAGTAAGAGTTGTAGATGGTTTGCTCCTAGAAGACCGAGCCCCGCTAAATAGACAAGTGCTGCGGTAGCGTATCACGAGCATATCAACGTCACTGGAAGCTTTCCGACGCCGCACAAGGCATAAGGCATCAAACCAGAATACGATGTATTGAAGAATTCCGTACTAAAAATAGAAATTGTGAATTTAACTGCAATTATTGTATGATCCGAGGAAACAATGTAATATTTCGGTCAAGCGAAAGTTCGATGTTGTAACATTGAGCCGGACATATTAAATTCAATACTCAACATACGACAACTCAGTGTTTGATCACAGTATATGTATATATATACAATTGCTTAACGTTAATATACATTCAAAGAATAGAGTATTCAAAGTTTTGGATCAGCATCCAAGTTCTGGATTATGAAGCCGGACCTAATCTACTTGCTTTCATAAAGGCAAGAGCTAATTTCTTGTTGTACATATAAACAATTGCATACCTACTCTCTGTAAGCGTAGCAGATTGTGACATAAAAAAAGGGGTTGAAGAATCCCATGTCAAGGGAAACGCAACAGACAACCAGACGCTATGCTTCCAATCAATTAGTTTCCTTCCCAATACCACAATCATCCATCCAGATATGAAACAGCGCCTATACTCCATCGTTATATGCATAAAACGAGACCCCCGAGATAATTTTTGCTACAACAAGAGAGGTTACTTATGCTACCACATCTCACCGTCATCAGCTGCTTGATCATGTGATTGTGTTCGCCCATAATCGTAGTACTTCTGATTTTGATCGTTATAGCCATTCTCGCTATTGTTTTGGCCGGTGCGAGATTGTGGACGATTATGGTCCTGCTCGGACTCGCCTCCTTGATGATCGTAATCATATATTTGAGAGTCATCAACATAGTTAACAGCCTCACCAGAATGGTTGGGATTTTGGGATTGTTCAGCATATTGAGTGATGCCCTATAGAGTGTTAGCTCAAAATATCTTCAAGTTCCCGAAATTGATGAAATCATACCTGGTGGTAATCGTATCGATATTGGTCACCCTCTGGTTGCTGCTGCTGCTGTTGCTGTTGTTGTCTCAACTGTTCTTGTTGCTCTAGGTATTTTTGTTCTTGCTCCTTCTGCTTTCTCTCTGCCTCTGCCTTCTTCTGTTGTACAGATTGAGGTACTTGCATATGTGGATGCATTTGTTGAACCTTGGCCAAGTACGAGTACATGAAGTTGCTAAGTAGAACCTGACTGTACAACGCCCGTTTGGGGTTAGCTAATTTGATGTGAGCCATGCGATAAATTGCCCTCTCTTCCATTATTGAAAATCTTGTCCAGTTGTAATCAATATCTGGTTTCAAGATACGTTGCGGTGGTTCCGGCGAAAGAGTGCGAAGTGAGCTTCCTTTTTTACCCCCTGAATCTCGATCGGCTTTCTTCTTTCCACCACCAAAAAGAGACGAGAAGATGCCATCCTTCTCCTTTTTAGGCTCCCCGCCAGCTTTACGACTACCTTCTTTCTTGCGTTCATTTTCTAGTTTATTATCAACATTCTCTCTCTCGACTAAGAAACTTTCCCGGCCTCTCGTAGTTGTCTCCATGGTGGATTGCAAAACATCCAATCGAGCATTATCATGCGCTTTCTCCGATGAAACTTTGGCTCTACTCTTATCGTCTTTCTTCTTATCCTTCTTGTCCTTCTCATCACTCCCCTTGAACCAACCCCAACTAGTCTTCCGAGGCCCAGAGTTTTCCTCCTCTCTTTCCTTTCTACTTTTCTTGTCGGTCTTCTTTTCATCGAAGGTTGGGATGTGAGTGAGCGCATCCGTTCTCAAAGAGTTCACCGGAAGTGAAGAAGATTGCTGATGTTGAGACATGTCGTTTGCTGTTGATGTCTTTGGGAGATTGGCACCGCCGGAAGAAGCTTGACGCTCCATTGCCGGACGTTTGTTCAATCTCGCTGGAGGTTCTGGAATGGACTGAGGAGTTGCTTGAGGAGTTGTTTGAGGAGTTGCTTGAGGAACTACTTGAGGAGCTAATTGGGGAGCTGCTTGAGGAATTACTGGTGAGGTATGTTGCTTCGGTGAGACTTGCGCAGTCTGTGAAGATGTTCTTTCAGGGTACTGGAGAGACTGCTTGCCCATTTGTGGTTCTGGAGTTTCTTCTACCGGAGGTGGTGTTTCTACTATACGTGGGACTGGCGAATCCGTTCGAGGGTGGCTAGTACTTCTTGATCGAGTTGCATCATGAGCAGGGGGAGAAGGCTGTTGGCTGGCGTTGGGTAATATTTCTGCAGTTGATGTTGGAGCTGGAGAATCAGATCGTGTAGGTACTTCGTTGGCAATGTTTCCCGGAATTGGAGGAACTGGTGGGACCTGTTCAATGTTCTGCATACGCCGTGCGCTCCTGTTGGGTCTTGAAAAATTATCCGTGTTACCTGAGGGCTCCGATTGGGTGTGTGTAAGAGGGTAGCCTGCAGATGGACGCCCATCAATCGGCGAAGCCGTTGGCGAATCTCCCCCGTCCGTATCAGCTCGAATAGAGCCAGCCCTTTTTGAAAATGGGACTCGCTCTCCCTTTCTCAAGCTTCCCCTCCTATATGTGGTGTGTGTGGATCTCCTTAGACCGATCCCAGGTGCTTGGGGCAAGATGGGCAAATCTTCGCCTTCAGCACCTTCACCTCTTCCTGTGTCGAGATTCAATTTCTGCATTGCTTTTGAAGGATCCTTTACCAACTCGTCCAATTCCTGAAGATCCGAGATTCTGAGATCAGGCGTGTGATGTGACGATAAAGACTTTTTCCTCTCTAAATGTTCTGCCCCATCTTGGTACCCTATAGCTCCCTTACCACCGGAATTATCGATCTGCCTTGACAACATAGATTTCTTCCTCCTCAATCCTGCTCCAGACCCACTCTGATCAACTCCATTAGCCGTTAATGAGTTTTGATCTCCAGATCGTCGTTTTATTGATTGAACGCGGTTTTCCAGAAAGGTTTTGAATTCCATGGGTGCAAGCTCGGGGTGGACTCTGGCGGGTACCCAAAAAAGTCGCGATGGATCGTCCTCGTTGTCGTTCCCTGTTGGAGCTGCTGTAGGCATTGAAGACACACCCTGGAACGATGGCAGATCCGGATCGCTGGTGTTGCCCACATCCATAGACATTCGCCGTAACGCTTGTAAATTACTTAGCTCTTGTGCGACAGCAGCTGGCCCGGATTCATAGTCGATATCGTTCAGCGGGAACTCCGCATTTGCGGTACCTCCTGCATTGGGATCACGTAAGGACAAAGATGGCGATATTGGAGCTCCATCTCCAAATGTTGGACTTCTGGGACTTTGCATGATTGCTGGTGATGTATGCGCTTTGTGGTTTCCATTTGCTAAGGGTACTGGTCTGGGTCTAATACTGCTGTTTGTGTCGTAAAATGAATTCGTTATCTCTTCGATAGACTCACTGGACGAGGAGGGCATAAAGCTAAGAGGTCGTGAATCTTGTTTTGAATAGTCATCATCCCCATACATATCTCCAATGGCCTCCGTTACATGATGGTTCGGATCGTTGATCGAAATTCGTGGATCCCGTCTAGGTGCAAAACTCCCCCCAAGTTGTTCTCGAGGTCTCGAAGAGGTCTGTTGAAGGGAAAAGGGGTCAGTAAAGTTTATTGCAACAGTTCGTAAATAAGATGTATCTTTGCAGAAAGTATTGTACGAAAGGACCAAGGTCTAGCAAGGAAAGCGAATGTAGCAAGAGTGAATCAAGAGAAATTGAGCGAGCGAGCGAGCGAGCGAGAGAAGTCCGACTTGGATGTCCAACAGACGAGCAGACAAGCATGAGGAGTGGTTGGGTCAGGTAGTAACTCGCAAAGACTACTCTGACTCTGCTTCTTTCCCACCATGTACGTCGCGTCGCACAGTGTAGCAAGTATTCCATAGAGATGTGCATACCTTCATCGGGAGTTGTGATGCGGGTCTTCTAAGAATTCCCTTGCTGAGATAGAAGAACTAGCACCTAATAGAATCACTGACGATACCGGCGATCTCATCTGGAGTTGTATGGATTATGGATTTAGTGTGGCAAGACTGGAGAGGAATAAAGAGCTTAATAAATATACATCGATGGGCACATGAATAAAAGTATGTCAAATGGGTGAAAGTGGAGAAGAGAGTTGCGATGGCATAATGTTGTTGTATGCGGTAATGATCGAGAGGAAGAGTAAGTGTGAGAGTAAGTGTGAGAGTAAGTGTGAGAGTGAGAGTGAGAGTGAGAGTGAGAGTGAGTGTGAGTGTAAGGGTAATAAGTGTATTTTGTTTGGGGATACTGATTGTGGTAAATAGGAAGGATCTCAATTAATTCGAGTTGTGCAATTGGGACCAAATGGGGATTGTCGTAGTGAGTAGGTACCTAGTAGGAGGTAAGTGGCATATGAGTGGCTCGAGTGGATAGATTGGGGAGAGAGTTTTTTTGGGGGGGTCCACCAGTGACCAGTGACCAGTGATCAGTGACCCGTGAGTGATGGAGCGATGGAGCGATGGAGCGTTGGAGTGGTGAGTGGTTGCTTGGGCGTTATTCATGGGATTTACGAGTCTCTATCGACATGGTAGACTTTGTTAGCGAAAGATCTAAATCGACTTATTCAATCTGATCATCCATCAACCGTCACAAAAAGATGAATCGTTGAATGAAATAAATGAGAATAGAAACTGTACAGACCAGGGACTAGGTATCTAGATACACAGATATTCTACCCAGGTAATCCACAGGTTAATCTGATATATGAGTCCAACAAATACCGAGATATACTCGTACATGTAACATTCACTCTTTGACGAAAATATCACATAGGGGTATCCGAATAGGGGACAAATGATCGAATGTCCGAGTCCATATATGACCGTCTGAACATCTGGGCACTACCTACCTAGTAGATATAACTACCTATGTTGTTGGAATCACCAGACAAACTGCATGGTCTTTCATGCAAATGACATGCTGGTTAATCTTGTAGAATTAGACCTCACGATTATACTCGTACAGTACAGTACATACATACATACATCATCATGTACATCATGTACACACTGCATAGTGACATAATGAAACTTTAAAGCCAGAGCACATAGTACTACTCACTCGTATTGTTAAGAATTCTTCCTTCAAGCTTCAAGCTTCACATTGAATATCAACGTCTACTCGTATTGGGTACCGGCATATCAACACCTACCTACTCTATCAGCTGTGCTTTGGAAGATCTTTTATATCTCCCAAGACTTCTCTCGTATCACCCACCCACCTGCTCCTTATCCAGGGCTGAATTTGGCATCTGACTGTATTCCCAACTCTGATGAGCTTGGGATGCTGTCTACCAGGTATTCAGGGTTCTTATGTCAGTCGGTTGCTACAGCGCCTAGAGTCATCCTTCACAATTGAGAGATTCTTAACCATCCTTTCCGTGATTAGCTACCTAGGCATGCGGCGCAAACACATGATAATCATAATCCAAGAAGAAGAGGTAGGGGGTAAGAGAGGCACGCACCGGAAGCTTGTTCTTCCCGATGATAGGTAGGGTAGGTAGGTACTTGAGTAAAATGCTGTCATTTCAAATGATGAATTGAGCCTCCGGATGTTGTTACTCACACATACTCACTGTCAAGGTCCCAAATTACTCTGTTTTTCGCGAATCACAAACATCTCAAAGGCTTTTCGCAGAGCATTTTGTAAAATTCGATACCTATAGATATGTATGTATGTTGTAAGTGTTCCTTCGGCGGGGTACACAAGTAGTAAGGAGGGAAAAAAGAAGTCTTTGGAAGGCTTTGAAATTATGATCAAGGTTAATTATAGAATTATAGAACATGGGCTGGCTCAGGGGCATTTGTAAGTGTGTGTGTGGGTGGGCAACGGCTAATCGATCTAGAATCTTTCTTCTTCTTCCATTTCTTCCATCTATCGTATCGTATCGTCTCGTATTCGCACCCGCCGTTGTCCCGTTTCCTGCCACACGATAAGAAAAAAGCAAATCGAAAGAGAGCAAAGAGAAGAGAAGAAAACTTCCATCACCGTCACCAAAACGACATGACCCTTTTTCGAATTTCTGTCATTATACGTACCGGTAGGCACATAACATACCTAACCATATAGATAAAACGGTGCCAGAGTACGGTCACCCAATAAAAGCATTTGCTGTACGATTAGCTCGATTTCCGTTGCTCACAGCCACAATGTTGAGAGTTCCAACGTTCGCATTGACTTCATTTTTGGATGTTTGAAACCAGGGCTCACCTCACCCACCACCTCATTTCAAAGACACACCACGTACTTCGTACTCAAACATGAGGGAGGGTCTCTCGTTAAAAGTGGTAAAAGTGTGGAGTTCATCACGAGAAATACAATTTATAGATTGTGAGACATCTTTCATTTATACATTTACACAAACCTACTAGGTACATACATACATACATACATACATACATACATACATACCTACATACATACATACATACATACCTACATACACACAGTCAATCAATCAAATGACATTTCCTGCCACTCAACGCCAATCAATCATTTTGACTTTCTCTCTCCGGAATTTGAATGGACATTGCTATCTTCCGACATGGGAACATGCTTCCCTGCTTCCTGCCTCCCCCAGGGTAGCCTGTCGGTGATAACATCATGTCGCCTATTCGGGTCAATATATGGTCCTTTGCTGGCATATATGCAGTCGTTCGCCAGCTTCATATCCCCAGTCCACCATGTGAGTACAGTGCGAGTGCGTATCCAACAGGAGGTGAAGAGTAAGAACAAAATGGGGTTCAACAACTGGTTTGTGTGTACCCCACAGTACTCTATTTCCCCCGCATCTTGATCTGCAGAAGCCTGCAATTCTCGACAATTCAACCGCTTCGGAAAAACTCTCCCTCGGTATATCCATTGACCGAGTTTTGGAGAATCAACTACTGATGCGACTTTGAGTTCGTTCCTGAAAGTGTACAAATGGCGTGGGTTTCCGCTGAAATTCGATCGACAACGAAGCATCGTGCGCTCATACAGAGTGCTGCTCTCAAATCATGGCCATCATCAAACGTTTAATTGCGCTTGTCGCACTTTCCCTTTCCTTAGATTTGGTTTCTGCTCAAGCATGCTGGAAAAACACAACTTGCAGCGGACCTCTGGAAGCTGCCTTTCCAGGCCCTTGGGATGCAAATATCTATGCGCCTTCGAGTCGCCAGGTATCTCCGAAATCCGTCTTATCCGCAACAACCGGAGCTGTTCTATCTAGCTTCACGGGATCGATTGGACTTTCTGGCAATGGTTCGAAATATACTCTTGACTTTGGTAAAGAGGTGGGCGGACTCGTGACCCTCAAATACACTTCCTCGGGGCCTGGTGCAATCGGGCTGGCATTTACAGAAGCCAAAAATTACATCGGGGAATGGTCGGACTCGTCCAATGGAGGATTCAAAGGACCAGATGGCGCTATCTATGCAAATTTCACATCAGCTGGCACGGGAACATATACCATGCCGGATCTTTCGCTTCGTGGAGGTTTCAGATACTTGACTTTGTTCTTGCTTACCGATGGTACCACGAATGTCAATATCAGCAGCATCGTTCTTGAGATTGGATTCCAGCCAACGTGGTCAAATTTACAAGCATACCAAGGATATTTTCACAGCAGCGATGAAATGCTGAACAAGATTTGGTACTCTGGTGCATACACGCTGCAAACAAATGCAGTTCCTGTAAACACTGGACGTCAAATCCCTACTGTTAAAGTGGGATGGGCAAACAATGGTACTATGGGACCGGGTGATACCATCATTGTGGATGGCGCAAAGCGGGATCGAGCTGTTTGGCCTGGTGACATGGGTATTGCCGTTCCATCGACATTTATTAGTATTGGTGACCTCGTCAGTGTCAAAAATGCACTCCAGGTCATGTTCAACTACCAGGTATGTTATCATTTAGGTGATCTTTTTGTTCCTGCCTAGTATTGAAATTCCTTCTTTCGCATTCCAATTTTCCGCCTTGAAACTGCTTCATTGACCGAGGATCTCGACTGACCCAATTTAGAACAATGTGACGGGCGCATTTCCAGAGGCAGGGCCACCGTTGCTACAGCTGGGCTCTGATACATATCATATGTGGACTATGATTGGAACTTACAACTATGTTCTTTACACCAATGATACTTCGTTCCTTTTGCAAAACTGGGCGAAGTATAAATTAGCGATGAAATATGTTTATGGAAAAGTCAGCGCTCCTGGGCTCCTCGAGGTGACAGGTATTCGTGACTGGGCCCGTTGGCAACAAGGTTTTAATAACAGTGAAGCACAAATGATGTATGTTTTGTCATCAATGTGACTGTGGTGGTTAGCTAACAAATGCACAGTCTCTATCGAACTCTTCTTACTGGCGCTGATCTGGCCAAATGGGCTGGTGATACTACTAATTTGACCGCGACATGGACCAGTCAGGCGGCTTCTCTTAAAACAGCCGTCAATAAATACTGCTTCGATTCATCTTATGGATCTTTCAAAGACAACGCAACGGCAACTACATTACATCCTCAAGACGCAAATAGCATGGCTCTTTTATTCGGAGTTGTTTCTCCAACTTCCCCTACAGCCCAGACTATTTCCACCAACCTTCTCAAGAATTGGACCCCAATCGGAGCTGTCGCGCCCGAACTTCCAGAAAACATATCCCCTTTCATATCGAGTTTCGAGATTCAAGCCCACTTTACCATCGGAGAAACGAGTCGTGCGCTCGATCTCATTCGTCGATGTTGGGGTTGGTATCTCAACAACCCCAACGGAACCGAAAGTACAGTTATCGAAGGGTATCTCCAAAATGGTACCTTTGCGTATCGATCAAGCAGAGGTTACATGTACGATACCTCATACGTATCTCACGCACATGGCTGGTCTTCAGGTCCCACATCTGCCCTGACAGAATTTGTATTGGGTCTTAGTGTTACTAGCCCCGTGGGCAAAACTTGGAAATTAACACCACAATTCGGAGACTTGACGAGTGCAGAAGGTGGATTTGTGACTGCATTAGGGAAATTCCAAGCGGCTTGGAAACTTACAAAGACGGGATACACGTTGGATTTTGCGGTGCCGGAAGGAACCTCAGGGTCGTTGATCTTACCGGTAAGAAAGGCGGGGGTGGTGCCAAGTATTGTTCTAAATGGGAAGGAAATCAAGGGGTCAAAGGACTTGAAGGTTGTGAATGGGGGTGTGGCACTGGAGACTAATGGTGGAAAACATAGTATTGTTGTGCGTTGAAGATCTCTGCGCTACCTTTGAACATTTATTTACCACAACACTATTAAGACTCGGACACCCCAGTATGCGATCTATCTGATCTGCATTTTAAATCGTGGCTGTGAACATAAACTTCATGAAATATTTGAAACGTCCCTGGTCGTCATAGCCTCGAGTCCATAAAATGGAAAATCAGGGTCCTGTAATCTGATCTACTTGAGATGAAAGATCGTCATAACTTTCACATTTCTTTGTTTCACCAAAAGAGTGATTTGAGTGATTTTTGTGATAGCGCATGAATCAGACTAATTTTCAACTAATCTTCAACTATTCGATGTCGAAAGGGTGGATAATGACGTAGGTTGATAAAACTAAGGAATGGGGGTTGTTTTAGTGGGAAGCTGAGGGGTTCGGGCGGGAAACATAAATAAGTACAATGCTTGAGTACATCATCATCATCATCATCATCATCATCATTCTATTCATCAATAACCTCATTATCATCGCCAATTTCCTGCAACTTCGAAATTGAATTTCGTTCTAGAATTATTTGAGAATCTTATCCTTGATCACTGAGACATAAGATTTAATATACAGTACCTTGCCTCCGCACACTCCACTAAGTCCAAATTTGCAACCGGGATTCAAGATTACCGAAAGACAAACGACAACAAGGGTCGCGAATACCACCCCACTCAGTGACCAGGTAAGTTGAGTACAGCGAGCGAGCGATAGTGAATAATATCTTCTTGCATATTATCCATACGTCGCTCTTCTTGCGTCAATCTCCCATTCTCCCTTCACTTTTTGCACCAGCTGCTTTTTTGGAGAAAGAAAACTAATACAAGATGATGCGCAAACAGTCATTACACGCCAACATGTCGGGGTCACAAGTAGCAGGAGCTCCTGGATCGACACCAGCGAACATGCCAGTGAGATCATTCTCGACTAGCAGTGCGTTGACAGATCGTACGGATGAGGGAGAGGCAGTACCACTGGAGAACCCTAAGGATGTGAGTATCTTTGCGAAATCTGCAAATTGTCCAAGGCCAAATATCGGGGTTGGAGGAAGATAGGAGAACGCCTGTGGCTGATTGAATCTTCGCGCGCAGACTTCAGAATTGTTAGGAGAAAGATTGAGAGCTTGGAAACATGCAGTCGGGTATCTTGAGGAATACATTGGAGCGACGGAGAAAGTACAAAAACAGCAATCAAAGGAGTATGAGAAGGTTTTGAAGACTATCGCAAACCCCTTAAAAGAGGGGCACCATTTTCAGCAGGAGTTGGGAGGTATGGCGGGAATGTTCGAAAACATGCGAACGAATACTCAGGTATGATTTACGCGATGCTCTACTATTGCGCAAACGCTGACTGAATAGGGTTTAATAAACTCGCACCTCGAAACGGAGAAGAATCTGAAAGGCACGGTACTACCCATACTCGATCGATTACACAAGGAAATCAAACACAAATCTAAGGAGTTACTTTCTGGGGCTTCAAAGGGAGCAAAAGAGGTCGATAAGGCTAGAAATATTACACAAAAACATATTGAGCTTTTGGGATCGCAAACTGCGAACTACCAATCCAGCGCTGCTTCCATGAAGTCGGCCGAAGATCCATATGTCGTTCACCGAGGTATTTTACATCGGCTTCACAAGCAAGTTTTGGAGGAAAACACCAATCGTCATGATCTCATTCAAGTCCAAAATAACTTTGCGCAATTTGAGGCTCATGTAATCGAGATCATCCAACAGACTATGATGAGTTTCACTCAGATAGTTACGAGCCAATCTCAAAGAGAACAAACGCTCTTCGCAGATATGCTGAACGCTTGCCAAGGAGTTCCTGCAAATCTCGAATGGGAAGGCTTCGTTCACCGTAATCAAGCTTTACTTATCGATCCCAACGCCCCGGACCGCTCAGTAGAAGCAATTAGCTTCCCCAACCAGAATCACGCTAGCACTCAGGCTCTTATCGAGGGTTCGCTTGAACGCAAGAGCAGAAACAAGTTGAGTTTCGCCGGTTACACTACTGGCTACTATGTCGTAACTCCAAGCAAATTCCTCCACGAATTCAAAGACAACGACAATGTTCGCAAAGATCCCGTTCCGGAGTTATCCATCTACCTTCCAGATGCCATAATTGGAAGTACTAGCGGCGAAAAATTCAATATCAAAGGAAAAGATGTTTCCAAGGGAATAGGAAGTAAATTGTCTGGTACTTCCGAAATTGCCTTTAAGGCGCATTCGGCAGCGGATGCCAATAAGTGGTATGAAGTCATCAAATCGGTCGTGGGATCAAGTCCAGCAGAAGCAACTAGTCCAATGGGTCCATTGAGTCCAACATCCCCGACTGATTCAAAACAAAGCTCAATGAGCTATCCCGCGGAAAAACAACCTGAATCAATTCAAACTGGAGGAACAATTACAGGAGGGGAGACAGTTGCTAGTCCCGTGGCGACAACGAATGCAACTAATTTTGCACCTGGAACAGTACCAGAGAAAACTGGTTAAATTGGCAGGAATGAGAGAGTGTTTGGAGATTGTAATGTAAGGGGAAAGGGAGGATAAGATTTTTAGCGAATTGGTACAGAGAAGTAAATTTAAGCAGTGCGTCAGCGTGTTCGAGTTGTCAAATATGATGTGCTCTTTTGAGCGTGTGGATTATGTTTGAATGGCGGTCGAATTATTTGAAATATGTCCAGCGGGGAGGGGCGAGCAGAGGTAATGTTTAGTTTTGTATGTGGCTATTAAGATTTGTTACTTCTTTCACTGTAATCTGATCTGGTGTACATTCTTTGAATTTCAGTGAATGAATGAGGAGTTGTTTTCTTTTAACCTGGTCATATATCTTCAGGTTATCAATGTGAGTACTTGTTTGGTAGGTTATAAGTGTTTCTAAGGGGAACGTGAAGAGTCAGCCCATGGTAATTACAAGAAAATCTCACCGATTTGCGAGATTATGAAAAGGGAACATCGATGGGAGTTACTCTTATCTACTACCTACCCAATTGCTATCAGACTACCCAGTAGCTTTCTGAGGAGAAAAGACCGATCGAGAGAGATATCGTCAGATACCTACTAGGTAGGTGCGTTCATTAGGTTAGGGGAGGGGGAGGGGGAGGGGGGGAAGTGAAGTGCTCCTTCCTTGTCTGGGGGATAAGAATTTGTTTTGTGAAGGGTGAAGGAGAGGGTGAAGGAGGAATTGAGGTTATTGTTGTTGAGATGGGTTCAACTGGCTTTCTGAAAAGGACCGATCAAGAGCCCTCAGGGGTACCTAGTAGTTGAGGTCGTGCAGTTGATGATGAAAATTTGGTAGGTGCGTCCATCCGGTCAAGGCAGAGTAAGTGCTCCTTCTATTTTTGTGGCATACGGATTTGTTTTGCGCATGATCCTAAGTTCGAGAGGTTTGGATCTTGTTGTTGTGATATATTCAACTGAACCTCTCGACCTTCACACACTAAACCATCATGGACAATTCGGGATACTCAAAATTAAAGGAGCCTCCAATTACCCCACCATCTCGAATTCATGCAGCTTATCCACGTGAGAAGCATCAGAAAGTAGAATGTGCCCCTCAACCAAGTGATCCATTTCAAGATTCATCACTACCTCACCCTTCACTCGCGGAGCAAAGATTCGAGCTTCCATCCACACTTCTCAGCCCATTGAAGCCACCAGAAACATCAGATCAATTCAAAAATCCTTTCTTGAATCTTGTTCCAAATTCTCCGTTGAATCCCCGTAGCAGCAATTTCAATCCGGAGGCATGGATCGCCAATTTGGTTGCCTTCATGGGACAGGATCCGAGACGATATCCTCGGAGAAGTGCAGGATTTTCTTTTGAAAATTTGACCGTTTATGCTTTTAGGAAGCCAACTGATTATCAGAAAAATGTTGCAAATATTGTGTTTGAACTTGGCGCTTTTGCTCGCTGGTTGGTTGGATCTGGAAAACAGAAAGTTCAGATATTGAAAGGATTTGATGGTTTGGTTGAGCATGGAGAAATGCTGTTGGTTCTTGGTCGGCCAGGAAGTGGAGTTTCTTCGTTCTTGAAAACGATATCTGGGAACACTCATGAACTCTTTGTCGAGCCGGACTCGGATATCAATTACCAAGGAGTCTCTGTGAGCGAGATGCACACACGGTTTCGAGGCGAAACAATATATTTGGCCGAGTCGGATAGCCATTTCTCAAACTTGACGGTTGGCCAGACGCTACTTTTTGCGGCTAAAGCTCGAGCACCGTGTGATTTTACTTTTCCTGGAGTAACTCGAAAAGTGTACGCAGAGCATATGAGGGATGTGATGATGAAAACATTAGGTCTTAGTCACGTGGAAAATGTACTTGTTGGAAATGATGCCGTTAAAGGTATCAGTGGAGCTGAAAGGAAGAGAGTTAGCATCGCAGAAGCAGCCTTGAGCGGATGTTCTTTACAGTGTTGGGATAACTGTACCAGAGGCTTTGATAACGTTCATGTACTTGAGTTTTGTAAGATGATTCGACTTTCTACTACCCTTGGAAGAACGACGGCATGCGTTGCTTTATATCAAGTACCTGAAATAGTTTATGATGTAAGATATGGCTGCAGGCCTAGAGAGAACACTGCTAACTCTGCGTATAGCTATTTGATAAAGTTACAGTATGCTGTACTGCATATCTTCTCCCTGAAGCATTACTGATTGGCGCCATAGGTTGTATACGAGGGACGGCAGATATACTTCGGCCCATGCCATGAAGCAAAGTCTTTTTTCATCGATATGGGATTTGTTTGTCCTCCATATCAAACCACAGCAGACTTCTTGACATCCCTCACAAGTCCAGATGAAAGGATAATCCAGTAAAAATATCAGCTTATCCTTTTTAATTTTGACACTAACAACTGTAAAGACCAGGTTTTGAATTCCGAGTACCACGAACTCCCGAAGAATTCGTTATGGTGTGGAAAACAAGTCGTTATTACGCAAGACTTATGCAGGACCTTGAAGCTTATGAAAATGAATTCCCATTTGATGGGACTCATGCGTTGGATTTTGCCGCTGCGAGGAGATCTCAACAGGCTAAATATCTGTTCGTCTTTGATTTCCATCCCAATCTTGATCTTTGACTTACTCATTGAACTCCAGGAGAGCCCAATCAGCATATAAACTCGGTCCAAGACAACAAGTCTTTTTGTGTATCGTTAGAGGTCTCCAAAGGTTACGAAGTGACATGAACCACACAATTTTTATCCTGGCAATTAACTGTTTCATGGCTCTAATCATGGGTATCGTCTTCTACGATATGCCTGATGATACTAGCAGTATGAACAATAGAAGTATGTTACTGTTTATCACAATACTATTGAATGCTTTCACAGACTCACTTGAGGTAATGACACGAACTTTCAGGTATTCTTTTGCATCGCTGATAACACTCTAGATTCTCCAACTGTCTAATGAACGCCTGGTGGTGGAGAAACAAGCGAGATATGCATTTGTTCATCCATTCGCCGAAGCGTTTGCTTCAATACTATGCAGCATACCAGTCAGACTTTGCAGTAACGTTCTTTTTAACGCTATTCTATACTTCATGACAAGTTTGAGGAGAACATCTGTAGCATTTTTTACTTTCACTGCCTTCTCATTTGTTCTTAGTTTGACACTTTCTATGGCTTTCAGAGCTATTGGAGCTTCCTGTCGATCCCACCCTCAAGCCATCTTCTCAAAAGCAGTTGTTATATTGGCTTTTATGATGTATGCCGGATTCGCGGTTCCTCATATGAAAATGGTGCCATGGTTAGGGTGGATCACATACGTTGATCCGGTTGCGTACGCCTATGAAAGTTTGATTATCAACGAATTTTCAGGTCGGGTCTTTCCATGTGGAGATATCGTGCCGAATGGACCATCTTACATTAGTACAAGCCCTCATAACCGAGTGTGCGCTGTTGTTGGGGCTATCTCTGGGTTTGAAGATGTATTGGGGACTATATATCTTGAGCTCAGGTTTGGGTTCCAACCTAACCACTTATGGCGGTATGTGAAAACCTCGTGATGTTTTGATACTTGATGACGGGGAAAGGGGGAGATGCTTTCAAGATCATAAGCAGCTAATGTGTTTAGAAATATGAGCATCCTATTTGCTTTCATGGCATCTTATATGGGCGCATACCTACTCGTTATTACTCATGTGTCGATGGAGAAAATGAATGGAGAGACATTATTATTTCAACGGGGACACAAACCTCTGCCTAAGAGGCAAAGGCATCTTGAAATTTACTCGGGAGCAGATACTCATAGGTATGGTGGGAATGGCGATCCAATAACCAAAATCCAAAGACAAACATCAACTTTTCAATGGAAAGGTATCTGTCTGGATATCAAAACTGGAGATGGTACACGTCGAATCTTAGATCATGTTGATGGTTGGGTAAAACCAGGAACTTTGACCGCACTTATGGTACGTCCTATGGAGCGAGCTTGACACCAATGCTGATAAGGATTACATATAGGGTCCAACAGAGGCAGGGAAAACTTCATTGTTAGATGTTCTGGCGTCTAGAAGTAATGTTGGTGTAGTTTATGGTGAAACTTTTGTTGATGGCTGCATAAAAGATATATCGTTTCAACGCAAAGTGGGATATGTTCAACAAAAGGACCTTCACCTTTCAACAATGACAGTGCGTGAAGCATTACAGTTTAGTGCGATTATGCGTCAATCGAGCAAGACTACCAAGAAAGAGAAACTTGCCTATGTGGAAGAGATGATTGAGCTGTTGGAGATGGATGTGTATGCGGATGCTGTTATAGGAGTTCCTGGTGAAGGCTCGTAAGACCCGGTTCAGTTCTTACGTAAAGACTAATGATATTTCAGGATTAAACATTGAACAGAGAAAGAAACTGACTATAGGTATCGAGCTTGTCGCTAAGCCGAAGCTTCTACTCTTCTTAGACGAACCTACCACTGGGCTTGATAGTAGCACATCATGGGAAATAATTGAGCTTTTGAAAAAGATGACAGCTCACGGTCAAGCTATTTTATGCGCGATTCATCAACCGTCCACAGCAGTATTTCAACGTTTTGATAGTCTTCTTTTTCTTGGCCCTGGAGGTCGACCAATATATTTTGGTAGGCTTGGTGAGAATTGCGAAACTGTTAAGAAATATTTCGAATCCAATGGAGCAGATCCTTGTCCCCCGGGTGGAAATGTTGTTGAATGGATTATGCAGTGAGTTTGGTTCGTCAATTCCTCGAGCAATGATGGAATAATTAATATAGAAAAGGACTATCGGATGGACTCCTGGTTCAACAAATTTAATTGATTGGCCCGAAGTCTGGAGGAATAGTCATGAATTAGTCCTTGTTCATCGAAAGTTGGATCATATGAGAAAGGCATTAGTCGCAAGATCCAGCTTTTTTCTGACAGGAACCAAGAAACCACCTCATCGGAAAGAATTTGCTACGAAATTTTTAGTGCAAGTCTGGCAATGCTTCAGAAGAACAAACTCATACTATTGGCGAACACCTTCTTATATCTATTCGAAAATCGGATTATCCCTTTTTTATGTTCGCTTCGTCCTCTTCATTACCCTCTTCGCTATTTGAAGCTAATCATTGGTGTTAGGCTCTATTTATTGGATTTTCATCCTTTAAAGATGCAAGTTCTTTGCAGGATCTTCAGAATCAGACTTTTGGCGTGTTTATGCTTCTGTGAGTGTCTCCTCAATGAATGGGAGCTGAGCTATCACTGATTTTGATGTAGAACTTTAGCATCTAGCTTCGTTGCGCAGATTCTCCCAAATGTTTTGGCGCAACGAGCTTTGTTTGAAGCGCGAGAGCGACCTGCAAAGATTTACTCGTGGCCAGCTTTTATGATTAGTAACATACTTGTTCAGTTACCATGGAACACACTTTCGGCAATAATTATATTTCTGTGTTGGTACTATCCTGCGGGGATGTATCGCAATGCAATCTTAACGAAATCAATACTTGAGAGAAATGGAGTGATGCTACTGCTGATCTGGGTATACCTGATATATGCAAGTACATTCGGATACATGGTACAAGTTGGTCTTGAAGTTACAGTGATGGCTGGCAATTTGTCTAATGCTGCATTCTTCTTGTCATTGATGTTTTGTGGGTAAGTATGATATGACAATCTACTTTTTGAATATGGCTACAGCTAACTGATATTTTCTAGCATAATCTCAGCGCCTATAGCACTGCCTCAAATATGGAATATCTTGAGGCTTCTTTCTCCGTTCACTTACCTTGTTGATGGGATGCTCTCCATTGGCCTTGGTAACGTCCCAGTCACATGTTCCCAATTTGAATCTCTTCATTTCGAACCAGTAACTGGGAGTACCTGTGGCTCTTATATGGCTAGCTATATACAGAACGCGGGGGGCTATCTCACTAATCCTTCTGCAAAGAGTAGATGTGTTTATTGTCCCCTGAGAGATTCGAATGAGTTCCTTGCTGCTGCTGGTATGAGCTATACGAATAGGTGGCGCAACTTTTGTATCATGTGGGCTTATGTGGCTTTCAATGTCGTTATGACTTTGTTCATATACTGGCTGGTTAGGGCTCCGAAGAATTGGAAGGGAAAGCCGAAGGAGAATTTGGATGGTTCATCGAGTGCGAAGGATGAACATGTTAGTGAGCCGAGTGAACCAAGTGGAGGTAGTCATTCGGAACGGAGCTTTGTGAAAGTCGGTGGATATAAAGAGGACAGTCCTCAATCTAGAAAGCGTGGTAGGTCTGATGACATTGAGCTTGTTCGGATGTGAGTGAGGGAGGGAAAGTTGCAATTGTGGCATTGGAAAGGAGGGGCAGTGAGTGCAGTCTGGGATGGGATGATATCACATCGATTAACCTTATATAGCTTTGATAATTAGCATTTTTGTTGGCTGTTGTATGTAGATAGTAGGGTAGGTACCTAGGTAGGGAGGTAGGTGGGTACTTGTAATTAAAATATATGGAAAATCGCCTTGTGTACGGAGTAGATGTTAGTGATTTCGTTTAATTAGGTAGGTAGGTAGGGTAGGTAGGCTCTATGTAAGCGAAAAAACAGGCGGAAATTGAGTACTCTTTCAAAGGTCTTTTTTAATAAATTATAAATTCATTTCAAATTAAATATTGAAATTTGAAAAAATCAAACGAAAATTTGAGTTTTCTTTATACTAATGTATAGTCTTTTTATCATTTAATATTATATCAAGAAAAGATCTTAGTTATTGAAGTTCTTTCGAATGATGGTTAATTCCTGTCTGTTTTTTTGCTTATGTAGAGGGTAGGTAGGTATGTATAATTATATAATCAATAAAACTTAGAATATTTAAAGTATTTAAATTATTTAAAGCTCTTTCAAAATTAATTCGTTATAAAATCTATAAGGAAAAAACGAAGTTCAATTGTTGATCAACCAGGTACTAAAGCGGCATTGTGATCCACGCCAATATTACCCCTCAACTTGCGTCGTACAAACCAAAATTTATTTTGTACCGCACCTTTCATCATTTCCGCCTCAACTTTAAACGTACCTCCTCCACACCTAACATACAACCAAACATGTACTGCGCAGAATGCGGGCATCCCCTCCCCGATATCCGCGACGATAATACAACATGCAGCAAATGTAAAACGCGACTGGGCACCTGGTGGGACGAATCCTCGAAAACGATGCGGACGAACCGCGAAGCTTTCGTACCGACAAACATGATGAGCGAAATCATGGGCGGCAGAAGCCATTTCGAAATCAACAAGAAGGTTTCCGAGCGCACAAACACGTATGGGTTGGAAGAGAGAGGGTTTCTCGCTACTTTGACCATGCTGGAAATGCGATGGGGACCCGGTGGTGGAGCGGGCTTGGGAAGGAAAACGATGGAGGGCTTGGGGAAGATGATTCGAAGTACACTGGACATGTCGCTTTCGCGCGGCGAGGTGCGTGAGGCGCTCGCGAAAAATGTCGATATCTGGATGCGTCTGCAGCGGATCTTTTACCTGGCCGTCCCCATTCTGGTGTCGCGGTCGCTGCGCGAATCGTATTCGGAACAGGGGGTTCCTGCCGGACCGGACGTGTCGGAGAGTGTGGCGCTCATTTTGAAGAATTTTGAAGTGCTGACGGAGGATTTGGGGTATTTGAATAATTTGCTCGTGGTGAGCAGGAATATGTTGGCGGTTAAGGAGACGGCGCAGGAGATTTGTAGGGCGGTGGGCTTGGATAAGCAGGTTCATAAGTTGATTATACTGTGTGTCAATGTGACGAGTAAGGGGTATGATGGGGAGAATGTGGATGATAATAGTAGGGGGAGGTTGAATGAGGTGACAGAACTTTGTGAGTTTGATTTCTGTTTTGTTTGTTTGAATTGGGGTTGGTATTGGGGATGCCATTGCTTTGGTTCATCTTGAGTGAGGATTGGGTTTGTGGGTGATGCTAATTTCTTTCGCAGATAAAAAACTTCTGGTCACTTGTTTACAACATACGCATAATTGGACTATGGGTAATGATAGATTCAAGATGTCATTTTGGTTCGATATGCTTTTCGATAATGATTTGCATAATGATCCGGTTCATGAACTTCCTCCGGATGATTTGAATGTGGAGAAGGTTTATCATGAGGTTAGGAATTGGTTGGCTAGACATTCGGCAGATCAGGATGAGACGGCCAAGGAACTTCTGGAGAAATACGCTGCGGAAGCTGACATGGATTGCACACCTGGACCGTTACCACAGATTGACGAATTCACTATGACTGATGCGGATAAGGAAGATGATCCGGAGGAAACGACACCGGTTTGGAAACCTGAATTGACGGATAAATATGAGCAAGATCGAATTTACGCCCGTGTATCGCACGAAATTGATATTTGGTGGAAGCGCCAACGGGATCAGAATTATGAAGGATGGGTTGTGAAGATGGTCACTGTGGAAGATGCGATAAAGCGTGCGGAGGCTTGTAAAGAAACTGCTATGGAAAGATTTCTTCCTCAACGAGCTTTCCAGGATCAGGATGCTTATGATCAGGATGAGCAGTTGGAGGAACCACCTCTACATGATGAGATTGATGGCGATACTCGGTCGATGGATGGTCATGATGGGGAAGATGATGGCGAAGAAGAGGATGAGGAGGATGATGATGAGTCTTATGCGGAAGGACCTTTGAGAGGTCTTTTGACCGAAATTCCTAACATTCTCGACACGAAACAAATCGAAGCTCTTCACATGACCGTCAAAGCTTGTATTGTCGATTCAATGGGCTCAGGACTTACACCAGCTGGTGAGAATCTTCAGAAGACACGGTGCAAAATGTTTTTGGCTTTGGATTGTGGCAAAAATCTTCTTCGAGAAATGTTGGTTTTCATTGCTGTTTGGGAACAAACTGATCAACATTTCATTTTCCAAATTACTGCTCAAATTATCGAGTCCTTCCATCATAATGCTTTATTGCCATATGCTTGGAGCTCGCTGAGGATTATGAAGGATATTGTATCGCCGGCACAAACTGTTCTGTTACGTCTCATCAACTACATGTTCCGCGCTCGAAAGGATAGTCCCATCTACGATGATCTAAGAGATTATAACAGAGATGCAAAACTTATTCATTTCCTCTTTACATATTTCCGTACACGAGTTGTACCTGATTGTATCGCTCTTATTCACGCGCAAGCTCAAATTCGAACCAAAAATAGCGATCCTAATGATTTCCCCGTCGATTTATGGGATATGGAACGTGCCAAAGATGGACTCTCGCAGTATCTCGATTTCATATCTGTTATTGCTGAAATACCAGAGATGCGACCACTTCTCATTGAATGGGAAGCAGTCTATGAACTTATCGCTCTTCTGAGAGCTCTTGATTTAGGTGTTGCGAAGAAGAATCTTTCGGAACAACCATTACCAAATCGGAGACAAGCACCTGTTCCTCAACAGGGAGGAGGTATTCAAGCTACAGAACGACCATATGAAAGTCCCACATCTCAAAATGCACCACAATTCCCGGGTCAAGGACAATCTCTTCCTCCTCTTCATGATACCCCCCATAAATTCCCTTGGTCGGGTATTAAAATTCAAATACTTATCATTCTTACCTCACTTGTGGCACCTAATAATCCACGCAGGCAAGGACCGGGAAATCCAATTGTGCAAAAACAATTGCTTAACCAGGATGGAATTATGCCGTTATTGAATTGTTGTGTTTATGATGGACATAATGAGTATTTGAAGGAGAGAGCAACGCTAGCATTGAAATATGTTATGGAAGGTTGTGAGGAGGCGCAGAAATGGGTTAAGGATTTAGTACCGGCTGGGAAACAGAGGGCGGCGGCGGGAGCGGGTGCGAATGGTGCACAGGGAAATGGAAATGCGAATGGAAGTGGAAGTGGAAGTGGAAATTCGCAGGCAGGAGGAGGGGTCCCGGCAACTACGAGTGCAGCGTCTAATGGATTGCATATGCAAATGTCGGTGGGCAATAGTATCGATGTAGATCCGACGTTGCAGTTGGAAAAGTTGAGATTGCAGGAGAGGGTTAGGATTGCGGAGCAGAAGGCTAGGGAGATGAGGGGGAGGGAGAATGGACAGGGGTAGAGATGTGAGTATGGATAAGCAGTGGGGAAGTGGATGGGAGTGGTGAGGGAGAGGGGTGATTGAGGGATGATTGAGGGATGAAATGGGGATGGAATGGGGATGGAATGGGGATGAAATGGGGATGAGAATGGTGGGTTAACAAAGGAAGATATTTGCATTGCTTGGCGTATTAAAATGGTGTGGGAGGGATACACGAAGGTATGGGAAATGTGATGTGGGAGTTGTAGAAAAGGAAGGGAGGCGAAGGGAAGGGAGGGAAAGAGAGGTATGATACCCTTTTTGGCGTTGCATTGGTATTGGTTTGGGTCCTATGAATGAATGGGGGAATGAATGAATGATTGCTTGATTGCTTGAGAATGATGTGTATAGTTAGTTTACGTAGCGTAGCGTAGCATAGCATGGCAGGTTAAGGAATATTAGAGGTTATTGAAGAATGAATTGATGTATGGTATGGTGTGTAGCATGGAGTAATGTTTGGATTATTGGAGAGAGAGAGATAAATTTGAAGATTTTGAGAATATAAATGGGAGAGAGGGGTGAATGAAAATGGGAATGAAAATGGGAATGAAAATGGGAATGGGAATAAGAGGAGGGAGTATAAGGTAGGGGAAGATAAAGTAGGGGGGAAATAATGTAGGGGGGAAATGATGTAGGGGGAAGATAGAGTGGAAAGGTAGAGTGGAGAGGTAGAGTGGAAAGATAATTGATTGAAAGGTGTAGTATTTTGAGAGGAGTGTAGTATTGAAAGGAAGATTGGGATTGGGGTTTGGAGGGAGATTGGGAGGAAGGATTTAAATGGGGGGTTTGGAGAGAGGTGCTTGGAGGGAAATGCTTGGAGGAAGATGCTTGGAGGGGGAGCTTAGAGAGATTAAAAGATTGAGAGATTGAGAGATTAAGAGATTGAGAGATTGAGAGATTGAGAGATTGAGAGATTGAGAGATTGAGAGATTGAGAGATTGAGAGATTGAGAGATTGAGAGATTGAGAGATTGAGAGATTGAAAGAATATCAGAATATCAGAATATCAGAATATCAGAATATCAGAATATCAGAATATCAGAATATCAGAATATCAGAATATCAGAATATCAGAATATCAGAATATCAGAATATCAGAATATCAGAATAAGAATCTATTTTTTTAAAAAAAAAATTAATTATTTCTATAATACATTTATAGTTTAATTATATTACTTCTCGTGAATGTTATAGAAAATACGAGTAAAGCTTTTAGATATTCTTATTATCTGACGAATGAGAAGAGAGGTTCGTATTTCTTTTTATTTAGTTGAATTGGATTTATCTTGATTATTTGTATTGTGATTTGTTTTTTTTTAATTAATTTGATTGATTTTAATAAAGATTTGAACAGTCGAATTCTGTCTGCTTTTTTTTCTGTATGAAGGAGATTTGTAGGAATGGATGTAGAAAGGAAGAGAGGAAGAAAGGAAAAGAGGAAGAGAGGAAGAGAGAAAGAGAGGAAGAGAGGAAGAAAGGAAGAAAGGAAAAGAGGAAGAGAGGAAGAAAGAAAGAGAGTGGAAAATCAAGTAAATTGTATAGTGTTTTGAATTATGAGATCATAGGAAAATGTTTGGAAAGAGGTAGTTGGAGTGGAAGGTTTGAGAAAAGTTTACACAGAGATATTCAGGGTATAAGGGGAATTATTATAGAGGAGCAGAATTGAGAGGTAAGATTGTTGAGACGAAGGAAAGGATATTGATGGGATAGAATGAGATGAGAAAATAGCGCATGTATTTCATGTTTATATCATTGTTAGGGATGATCAAGAAGTATTTCAGATGAGGAGGAACGAGGGAAAGAGAAATACAGAATGAAGAAATGAGATGATATATTTTGAAAATTGCTCCACTTTCGTCTTAATTAACAACTCTCAATTCGCTTCGTGGATGAAGGACTCTTGAGTATGGATTATCGGGAACATGCATGGAGAGGTTACTGAGTTTAGCGAGGTGTATGAATGAAGAGCGAAAAGTTCCGGAAAGTGATTTTTTCATCAACTGGGAAAAATGTCTGGAGATTACTAGGTAGTCTTCAAGAGTAGAGTCATCTAAGTTTCTCAGGGTATATTAGTTAATTAATAATAGTTATTGATGGAAAATTAAAGTTGTGGTGTTGCCTAGGGTGTCAAATGAGGTGTCATGACCTCATTGTTGATAATTAGATTTGAGGTCGGTCGCGAGTTGGAGTTTTTGTTGTGGGTATTTGGAGGCAGCAGGATTGAATTTGTGTGTTGAGATTCATACTTAAGTATTGATGAGTTGCAGTGTTTGATATTTTTTTCTTGGATTTATTATTAGATTATATTTGGAGTGTGGAATTTTCTTTTTACGCAGATTTTTTAGATATTTTTTCAACCGGTTCGAATCTAGAGATGCCTACAGAATATGTTTATGGTTCCGGTCCGATACCCCGTAGAGACAACCGAGATCGTCCATCTAAACGTGGAGATAATCATCATCCTGGATCTGCCACTCAAAGGGCTTCAATTTCTTCCAACAAAAAACCTTTTATAACTGAAGACAATCGCGGCATTCCTAATAGCAAAAGACCAATAGACGTTAAAAAAATTAAGGACATTGATAATGTTAAGAACATTAAGAGGAATGCATCTCCTCCCCCACAGTCAAATGAAGGGAATTCCCGGAGAAGAGAAGGTACACAAGAGAATCCGAGCACAAGAGAAAGAAATGGGGGACATGGGAATGATGTGACAAAAGTCTTGAGGAGGAAGGTAGCATTTGAGATGAAATAAGTATTGATAGCGCAAGAAGGAGCATTGAGAGAGTATGGAGGAAGGAAATGAAATTGAGGAATGAATAAGGATTGAGAGAGTAAGAAGCATTGGACGATGAGGAAAGGGAGGAAAGGGAGAGACGACACAGAGAAGATGGTAAGAAGAGCCGAATAAAATTGGAGAATGGATGAGATGGCAATATTGATAGGAATGGAGTAGTAGGGAAAGTTGAGGATATCTGAAGAAGTTTCAATCGGCATCTATATTTTCTAGGGGCCAGGCGGAATATTGGTCTTTTGGCGATTGCTACTCTAGTGCAGATATCAAATAGAATTTTTTTTGCAGAAATCATTTCCATCTCGTTCCATTTTTGAATTGACGATTGTTCTGTTCATTACGATGTGTTAATGTGAAGGAATAAAGTTTGGGGCAATTGTTCGGTCATGACGTGCCTAGAGTTAATTTTGGTCTGCGATTCAGTAACCTTTCTTCCGGCTTACTCACGGGCGGGGTTGGAAATGAAAATTAGGTACCTAGGTTTGGTTATTGGAGTAGCTGGCATGGTGAATAAAGTATGTTGACTTGAATTTGTGAGTCAGGTGAGATTTTCCAGACTTTAGATGAAATTACAAATCTGAAGATAGACAAAGGGAAGACAGCATTCCAAGCTTGAAGGTTTGAAGCACGTATGGATAATGAATGATTGATTCTCGGAATATGTCTTCTTCAATGATGCACGTAGACTTAGACCAGCGATATAAACTCACGAGCAAATTTTATGATTTCCTCAAATTTTGAGTATTAAGCAATGATTACACCCGATTTTATAATGTGTATTCAAAAAAAAAAAAGCATTTTTCAATATCATTTAATCGAAATTCTAAAAACTGAAAAATTTAATTTAATCAATATAGCTTTAAATTGAAAAAAATTTGTATTATAATATAAATATCAATTAAAAAAATCAATAAACAAAATCTGAATAAATTTAATCAAAAATTTATTAAATCGAAGATAATTGAATAAAAATTCAATTTTGAAAATTCAAATCTTTAAAAACTATATCAAAAATTATAATTTCATTTAACTATTTTTAATCCAATGAATTTTTAATTAAAATGAATTATATTTTATTTTTTGATTCTATTAAATGAAATCTATATTATAATACAAATTATTTTTAATTTGAAATTATATTGATTGAATTGAAAGTAATTGAATTATTTTGATATGTGATTTAGCAAAAAGTTGATTAGATCAAAAAAAGTTATGTTTTGAACACACGTTATGAAATCGAGTGTAGATAATAGACGTCATATACTAACTATTTCATTATAGATAGGACATTCCATTTTCTTTCGAGATAGTTCATACGTTTAATATCAATATCAGTTTTACTAATAATGAGGATTGATACTACGAGAAATCATCTATCAGAAAAAGCTCCAAAGTAAGTAATAATTGAAATCAAATCGGGGGTAGAAAATAGGTATTATTTTTGAAGCTTTTAACGAATTTACTTGCATCCGAGAACTTATGTTTGGAATCCTTTTACTTCACGATCAAAAATCTCTTGATTTATTACCTGAATACAAAAAAATACTATTGAGATAGGAATCATAAATTCTTAATAAGACCTTCCGAGGAGCATTAAATAATTATAGTGACGAAAGAACAGAAGGACATTCAGTTATAATTGTAATTTTGAGGGCCTATGGAATCTCAAAAATACTTGATAGCTATGTTGAATCGGTCAGAACAATGAGCCCAACAATCAATGAAACTCGAATCGTACCGCGGAGTCCAACCGCAGACCAGCCGCAGACCTTGAAAGTGACCCCTTCACACCAGGCAGCAGATTAATTCATTCAAATTTATTTCGCGATATCGTTCTTTTTCCATTATCTAAACACAACCGTCAAGGCCTGGTAACACAGCCATCAAGGTACATCAACCTCAATCCCTCGCATAACCAAGCCTACAGATAAACTTGGTTATACCGGACTGAGATTTTAGATCAATCAAATCTGATATAAAGAGGATTTTAGTATAAAAATAATGAGGCAATAAGGTATTAATATTTTGTGGCTTAAAATCATTAACTTCATTTTGTATTAAAATAATCTAATATAGTCTTCTGTACCCTCCCTTAATTAGATTTAAGCTTTATTTTATATTTTCTCTTATATAAATTCTTAATTAAATTTATATTAGAAATATCTTGTTGTTTTTGATATTTAATTAAAACCTGAATAGCTTTAAAAATTTGAAAATAACTAATAAGAGGTAGTATTTCCTCTTCTCTTTTTTCATTTTCTTTATCCATTTCAATTATCTTTCTAGTTTTAATAATATTATTAACTAAAATATCAAAATTGTTATTATTTTTAATAATATATTTTGAATAAAATAAAATACATTTTTATATATTATCTAAAATACTAGCTATAATATTCTGATACTTTAAATATATCAAAATAAAATATAAAGATTTTAAAGCTTTTTTAGAATCTTATTATACTATCAATAACATCACAAATTGTAATTTCAGATTAATATACTATAATTTATCCTAGTAATTCGAAATGATATTAGTTTTAATATCTTTTTAAGCTAATATCCCCTATTGAATTATTAATAAAATATCAAACTCTTTAGAATAATATAAATCTTTATTAAAGTATTAAATCATAAATTTAACAGATCGATATTATAAATAAAACTTCCAATTCTGTATAATACCCTGATTAAGAAATTAATATTTAAATATAGAATTTGGAAGTAATTATATAATCTTTATATTATATAACTTACCAGCTTTAATAAAAGTAATAATAGCTAATTTGTATACAGAGAAGTTGTTTATAATAAGTAAAGCTTTTTTATACATCTATTTTATAATATTATTGAATTATATAAGATATTCAGCAAATATATTATTATTCATTCAAAACTTTATATTCAATTAATATTTTATTTTTAAATTATTAAAAATTATTAATTCCTCTTTTTTAAATACTTATAATATATATGCTTTTTTATAATTTATAAAAGAAATTTATAAATACCTATAGAATTATTAATAAAGAATACTATCAATCAAGCTTTTTTCTTTTTCCTACCAACAGATTTGAATATAGAAAGTATATAATTCAGTTTATCTTTTCAAAAAAGCCCTATTTCATTACAATTGTAGATATCATTTGCATTATATAAAGCTGTAATATATTATATCTCTTCCATTATAGCTTTTGATTTCAAATCTATATCCGCAGAAGCTTCTTTATCGAATCGATATCTTTTTTTTATAGAACTCTACTTTTTAAAGCTATTAATGAATCTAGTTAATTATATTTTTCTTTTATTAAATGATAGAGATTTATTTTTATATTTAGAAAGTTTTTATTAGAATTTTGTAGCTTTAAGATGTAAAACATTGTTTGTAATAGATCTTATATTAGAGTGATGATTGTATTAAATCTATTATTTAAACAAAATTTCTTCAAAAACAGGGTAGGTAGAAAAATAAGTCTTAAATTAATTTAATTTGTATTTTATAAGTTTTATTATATCGAACCATTTGAATTTCTTATTTAAAAGATTATTGAGAATCGGTTTTTTTAGTTTTATATTATATTGAGCTTTATATTATATTATTGTATTATTATGTTTCCTTTTTCTATATTTAGAATTCTATTATTATATTCTTAAAACTTTTTTTTATTGATTTATTGAATTGATTCGAAGATTATTGTAATCAATGTTTTTCGGTTTTTTTCAATGATAGTGATAATAATAATAATAATAATGCTATATTCGAAGATTCATTTCTTTTAGTTTGTAGTATATTGATTAATAATAAGAGTTTATATTAGAATTTAGTCAATTTAATTCGATATACTAGTTTTTATTAAAATTCCGATATTTTTGTATAAATTTAAAAAAAATGAAAAAAAAGTTTAGTATATCCAAGTTTCCGGTATATCCCAGTCCGGTATAGCCAAGTTTTTCTGTAGCACCCGACTCCAAACTTACTCATTCCGAACTCCCGCCCCACATCGGTACACCCCATCCCCTCGCTTAACCTTAGGGGAAAATCTCTGCAAAGAATTTTCTCCGCTTTGATGTTTGTAATATATTCCTACTTTGCATGCACATTCTTAACAAACACAATACAACATCCGGCATGGTGTAGTGGCTAGCATTTCCGCCTCTCATTCGAAGCTTTCAAGCTTTAGTCAAGTCGCGGGAGACCGGGGTTCAATTCCCCGTACCGGAATTCATTTTTTGAATGTTGTCTTTAAGAGTGTTCATTTTTTGAAATGAAATGAAAAATGGTGGGATAAAATTTTGATATGTTTTTACATTCGAGGTGTTAAGGAAAGATAATATATACCTGAAATTTGAGATATATATTTAAGCATTTTTCTTGTATTTACTACTTTCGAGAGAAAAGTTCAACGAAATTGATAAAGAGTACTATATAAACTCAGTAGAATCGGAATCTATCTACGAGTAATTATATTGAGTATAGTATAAAAGGCTTACCCTACAAACTAATTCCATTTGTAAGTAAAAGAAATCTTGAATAATTTCAATAAATTATTATTAAATCAATAATTAATATTTTGCTTCAAATCAAGGATATTATTAGTAGTCAATGATAGAAATAAATTCAAGTAAAAAGAAATTCTCAATTCTAATTTTGAAAAACAATTTATTTATTTAAAGCATGTAAATTATTAGAAAAAGTGGGAAGGATGTTTGTTTTCAATAAGTCCGGTTGAAGAGATCAACAAAATGCTAGGCTAAATGCGGTTAAGTAGATTCCGATTCTATAGAGTTTAGATGGTAGAGGGATTGGAAATGCTATATCTAGGTGTATAATATATTTCTTCGGACATCGTCTTACTTCTCTCTAATTAGTAGAATTTTCCTATTGATTATCTGAATACTCGGTTCTCGATGCAATCAGAAGCTATCAGTTCAGCTCACTCTGGGCTGGAGGTATAAGCAGTACGAAAGATGTAAATCCATCCAGCCTCTCCTCTAGATATCTTCAGACAAGAAACACTTGCCGAATTACGCTCATAACTCCTCTCATTTCCCCTTTCACCCTTCCATTAGTCCTCAATTATTCCGATACATGGACATTCTAACCAGTAAACATATTCATGCCAATCATCATTATCTGCTGCGTATCGTTATACATGTGGATGCATCAACTCTCAAACCCACAATAAGTCTCCTCACTCCTCAATTACTCACTTATCTACTATCCCTAACATCCTCACACAAAATGAGGGAAAAGACCACAATCGAAGCAATCCGATTGCTTCTCCTATCTCCCAAAAAAGCTTCTCTACTAAGAAAGCATTCATCAAAGTCATATGCTCTTATCCAACTTCCTGTCATTCATTGGTCGAGAATCAAAGAACAACCAAGAACCAAGGAACTCTTTCTTTCTTTCTTTCCTCCCAGCTTCGCAATTGATTGATTGAGTATACTATATTCTTTACAGTCCTACTCTATAGAATACCCTGGAAACCTTCGACTGTATCTTTGACATCGTCAATTGCCCCCTAAAAGCCTTATTGACTTTTCTTAACAGCACTCTGGACTTCTAGTCAGAAGAAGAAAGCATATTACTACAGTATACTTTGCTGTGCATACAATCTGAATCTATCTTATTCCACTCGTTAGTCTTCATCGTTCTACAATACACTCAATGGTGTACTGGCTAGGTTTTTGATGCAGTAGAACCTTCTTAAGCGAGTACATACATGCATATACGGTCTACTGGCTAGCTTGATCAGGATAGACAAACGAGCGTATAAAACCCTCTGTTCTTTATTCTGTGACTCTCAAGAGCCTCATAGTTTAAGAACTTAAGAACATTTATTTTCTTTACAAACCACAAACTACTAGCACCGAACTCATATTCCCAAAATCTCAACTCTTAACTCAACTCTTAACTCAACTCCAAATTTTTTCCTCCAAGACTTCAGAGCAACAGCCAAACTATCAATCAAACCCATAGATAAGTACTAATTGCCTGCTCGTCTACTTACCGGATCATCTATCTACACATTCCAAAGAAACAGAAATGGCACCATCAGGAAAAGGTTACCCACCACCCGTCCCACGAGTTCTACGTCGCACACCTGGTGACGGTTCACCTCCACCTCAACCACAACCATCACAAGAACCGAGTCAAGCTCTGACCGCATTATCGAGATCTTTGAGAAATCCCTCCCCTACCTTCCCTAATCTCATTCCCAGATCTACACCACGTGCACGAGATATCGATCCTAGATTAGTATCTGTGCCTGAATCTCAACCACAGTCTCATCAAGACACATCTAGAGCCAGCTCCAGAATCCAATCCCGAACAGGGAGCTCACGACCTCCACCCCAAGATAACTCGCTCCCAAGACCTCGAGATCTTATACCAAGACCTGGACCTAGAGCTATTCCTCATCTTGTACCAAGACCTAGATTAACTCCTATGGATAGAGATTTGATTTTGGGTCAAGGTCAGACACCAGTTCAAACTCAAGGTCAAACTCAAATTCGAACGCAAGTTCCAGAAGATCAAGACGAAGCACAAACTGGAACTGGAACTCGAGCTTCAGAAAGGTCTCATTTTCAGGGGCAAGGTCAATTCCAGATACAACTTCAAGCTCAACAACCACCACATATCGACCAGCAGATTCGTGTTCAAAATCACGACGATTTCTATGCGAACTATCCCTCTCCATTTCCTACTAGGTCCCATCCTTTCTCAGATTCCCAAACGACAATTGCGCCTAGAGACCAAAATTTACATCAAGAATCCCACCGAAATCTACATCAACGTCAATTTCCAACACAAGTCCCTTTGGAAACTCAAAATCAGGATCAAAATTTCTATGATAATTATCCATTTCCTTTTCCTACTCCACAAAATCCTTTCTCAAACTACCAGGCGGGCGTTTCATCCAGAGATCAAGAACTCCATCGAGGCACCCACCGAGATTTAGTTCAAGCTCCAACTTCAGTACAAGCTCAAGATGAACCTCAAATTAGGAACTTGGCTCGAGCTAGCAAACATCCTCGACTATCATATTCCAATTCTCATCCGAACAGCAGCAGGAGCGAGGAAAGTCAAGAGGGAAACAGAGATAAAAACAGAAAGAAAAATGGAAATGAAACCTCCAATGAAATCGGAACTGAAAATGAAACTCGAAACGCAACCCAAAATGAGCGATGCAATCCCAAGGATACATCCTCAGAATCTCCCCTCAGCACACCACCTGATTCCGTTTCCACTTCACCAGCTCTCGCACCTCTTCGCAACTTTCCACGCTTTGGTTCTTTTTCACAGAGTCAGAGATTCGACCGGTCTCCTACCAGTAGTGCTAGAGCTCGAGGTGGACATAGCGCCAAAAATGGAAATAGAAATGTAACCGCAAGTAGAACCGGAAATACAAATCTCCTCTCATCCTTCAATCCCTCTAACCCCTACACAGAACCCCCCATTCTACCCAGCACCCTAGATGTCGCAAATTGCCCCACTGCCGCGCAGAAAAAATGGATGTATGCTGTGCGGAAGGAGGGGAGGAGGAGTGATAGGAATGAAAATGGGGGGTTTGGTAGGGGGATTGAGGGGCAGATGGTTCGTTTGTTTGGGGGAGGGGGGGAGGGGGGTGTGTAGGGGATATTGAGGGTAGGAGGACTTGAGGGTAAGAGGTAGTGGTAGTAGGTAGGTGGGAGATAGATAAGGATAGGACAGAGAAAGAGGATACATGATAATATAAGAAGATTTAGAATATGCGATATCACCTACAAGATGAGGGATGAAGATGGAGATGATGGTTTGATTAGAAGCTAGAAAAGGTATTCATATATTTAACATACGTATAATATATATCAACGATCGAATATAATGATTTGAACTTCGACAACTTCAACTTGAGTATAGTTCTACAAGACAGTAGAAAAATGAATACTCATATGATATTTCGTCTTGACGTATTTGTGAAGAAGTAATGAACGACATAGTGGAAGGAGGAAAAAGAAGAAGATAAATTGTTGTGTCGATTTGGATTATAATAGTTGGTTGAATGGATAGAGAGATAGCTGGGAAGGATATTGATATCGATGTGAATACTGAAGAAAATAATATAAATAACCAAAGTCCAAAATACCCCAAAAAGGGGATCATAATACTTCTCTCCTCTACCAAGATGAGAGAATGAGAGAAGTATGAATTTAACCAAACCTATCCAGCCCCCCAAACTGACTCTCTCTCTGGCGTGAAAAAAACCCCCCAAAAAGGTGAAGAACAATATCCATTATCCTATTGTCCATTATCCTATTGTCCATCATCCTCTTCAATTTCTCAATCTCCTTTATCCCCTCACCCAAACCGCACAAAGAAACTTTCAAGATTCCCATCACCAAACAAAGAATTCTTTTCCTTTCTTTGTTAAAAACGCCTCCTACCCACCCACCTACAGAGACAACACAAATCAACAAAACAAAACAAAAATGAAACCAAAACACTTCCAAACAACGCCCAAGAACAATAACGTATATATATGTATATATACCAACTTCCTAATCTACGGTTATTTAAATATCAAGAACTCAGGATCTTATCTATTCATCACACTACTCTACCTACATCCACACCCACACCACCAAAATGTCCACCACATCTTTCGACCTCGGTCTCAGTCTTGGGGAACCAATCATTTGCCTCAATACCTCCTGCAACTACCCTTTCGGACGCATTTGCTCCTCATGCTCAAACGAACTCGATTCTCGAGCCCAGGCACAAGCACAATCCCAATCGAAAACCAGCCCCGATTCCAACCACAGAAGTAACGATACTCGTCCCGCACGATCAAGAAGTACAACTGTGCAATCCCGCAGTCTTGATATTCCTACACGCGTCGCGGATATTGTAGAGGATCTCCAGGGGATTTTCGCTTTCGTACCTGCTGCATCTGCAGTAACCTCACTAGGTGTACCAGCACCCGTTATCCCTCCACCCCCCAGTAAGTTAACCATTCAGAATCTTCAAATTCTCGATGCCACTCCCTCCCCCTTACAACTTCTCCCTTCCCCTCACCCACTCCCTCCCCTCTCTAACCTCCCATCCCCATCCCCATCCACATTCAATTCCTCCGACTCCATCCCACCCCCTCTCAATCTACTCAGCTCCACCATCCTCAACACCTGGCTCGACGACATCGTCCTCCGAACTCTCGAAGGACAAGTCCTCGCACCATCATTTACGGGCGGTGCAGAAGATGAAGATATACTGGAAACGATGTGTCCATATTGTGATGCTTCGATGGGAGAGGGTGCGTGGAGGGAATTGCATTTGATTAATTGTCGGTATGCGCATGTAGAGGCGGAGAAGTTGGAGATTGCGATGGGGAAGATGAAGAGGGGGAATTGAGTGTTAAGTGAGAGGATGAGATGAGATGGATGGAGAGAAGGACGGTAAGTGGATGAATATAGCTGGTCTATTTTTTGATGTTCGAATTATCGTTTCCTTATAAATTCCTAACAAATTAAATCAAATTATTTTATCTTGAATAAACATTCTCAAATACATACCTATATACATACACATATACAACTCAAGAATCCAAACTTGCGATCTATAAAATTTCGAATTAAAACTTATTCTTAAGAAATAATAATAAATACTATAATACCCTATCAACTCCTTATTAGGAATCCCGACTATCTAATCATCTAATATCCTAAATTAGTTTTTATACCCCCTGTTCTTTTATTTCCTTTCCTTTCCTTCTAATATTATAATATCGATCTTCTCAAATAGTAAAATCTTTATTAAATAATAACAAGCTAATCAATCATTTAATTAATTATTTAATCACTTACTTAATTATTTAATCACTTACTTAATTACTTACTCACCTACTCGAATATATATATTTAAATTTAATATAGTAAATTATTTCACTATTAATTATCTTACTAATTAATCAATATAGTATAGATAGATTATTTAGTATTTAGTATATATTATCATAATTATATTTATTTATTTATTTTCTAATTTATCTAATAATATATTATTTATATAGTAATAATGATAATAATATAATATTCTCGAGATTTTAAATTCTATATTTGTAACGAACCCAATAAGTGTTTAGAGATCAATCTTAGAATTAAAAGCTATAGAGCTAAAGAGAGTATACTACAAAACTATATATATAATCAACTCGAAGCTTAATACTATATTAATCCAATTAGATACAATCATATATATAATATAATACTATTTTTTTTTCTAAAAAGTTTGTTTTGAATTTGCTTTAAATAAATAATTTAAGTATAAAATATAATCAATAATCTTTCTTTTTATTATTAATATTATTATTTTCTTTATTATCTTTATATTAAAACTTTTGGGATACTAAATATATAACAATTAATTAGAAAATATTATATAACTCTTCTGCTTTTTTCAAACAATCTTTAAAGTATTAATTGTTAATAATTTTTTTTAGATCTTTATTTTCATTATTCTTGTATTTAAAATTAATGAGAATAATTATAATAGTTGAAATAGATTCTTTTTAATCTCGAATATTTTAATATAAATTAAATAAATAGAATTATATTTAATAAAAAGCATTTTAATATTAAATATATTTGTTTTATTTATATAAAAGAATTCTTTTAGTAAAAGAAAACTTAAATATATATAAAAAGGGTGGAATTGGGATAAAATCAATTTAGATAGTAAAAGAATTAAAAGTATTATACATATTAAGATGTTAATATTATTAAATTATAATTATAAAAATAAAAATGGATTTTGTAAGAGTTCTGGAACCTACTTACCGCACCCCTGTGACAAATGTGACAAATCCCCGCAAAAAATGTGTTTTCTCATATAAACTAATAAATCTAATGTTTAATTGGAACCTTATATTATTTTTGAAAAAAAAATCAGAAATAATAAACAATTGTAATTCAAATATAAAAAATTAATTGAAATATTTTCATTATTTTTGTTGATTAATTATTTGGAATTGAAATCGAAAATTTTCAAAAATTCTAACAAGTAACGTTTTTTCCCATATAAAATAAGCAAATTTTCATGAAAATTTAGAGTTTTCAACTTTAATTGCTTCAAATCCTATTTAAAAAATTAGAAAAATATTCTCTTCATTTTTTCTATTAAATTTAATTAATTAATAACATTTTCCCATAGAATTTTCAATTTTATCTTTGATTGTAATAAATAAACTAGGATATAAAAAGTTGAATAATCCCATATTTTAGTCGGAAAAGCATTACATGTGCGGTAAGTAGGTTCCAGAACTCTTAGTATATATAAGGTTTCAGATTTATTAGAGTAGAATAATATAGGTGATTTATTTATTATATATATAGTTAATTATTATATAATCTGAACAAAATTAGAATAAAAATAAAGTAAAGAAAACTATTAGGAAAAATAATTTTTAAAAATTATATTGAGTTTATTATAAAAGATTAAAATCTTATTCAAATTAAATTAATTTTGTTTTTTGGTTTTATAAAAAAATCTTTTAAATTTTGCAATATAGATATATAAAGAATTGATTTCTTGTTTGAAGTTAAATAATTTATTTTTAGCTTTTTAAATTTTATTTGGATTATTATAAATATATATAAATTGATTTAGGATTATTATATAATCTAATAGAATATTTTAATCAAAAAAAGAAAGCTGAGATAGTATTATAGTTTATATATAAGATTCAAGATTAAAATAAATATAATAAAACTATATTATAGAATTATTGATTGTAGTATTATCTATTTATAGTTTTGTTCGAATCGAAAATAATTATGTATCAAATTTTTAGGAATTATTATTAAACTTTTTGGGATTAAAGAAAAAGGATTTCGATTAGAAAGGTATATATAATATAGGAAAGTAATTAGGGATTAGAAAATATAGAAAGAAGATTTCATTATATTATCAGATCATTTTATTATAAAGCTTTTTAATTATATATAAGATTGTATCGATCTTTATAGTTTAAAAAATTAAGAATAAAAAAAAAGATAATATTTTCGAATAATATTAAGAAAATCTATATACAAGTAAAAGAACTAGAATAATATATCTAAATAAAAAATAAACGGAATATATATATATAAGCTTTATTTATAAATTTATATTGATATTATTTTATTTCTTATTTAAAAAAGCTTTCAATAATATAATAAATCTAATAAATATTTAAAAATCAATCTTAGAATTAAAAGTTATTGAATTAAAGAAAATATATTACAAAACTATATATACGATCAGCTCGAAGCTTAGTATTGTATTAGTCTGATTGAATGCGATTATATATATAGCGTGACAATATTTAAAAAATAAAAAATAAATTCTTTACTCTATTTTGAACTATTTTTATTTTAAATTCTTCTTTCCTATCAAAAATCTCAAAAAATAACATTTTTAATTTCTTATTTATAATTAAAATTTATCAAAAAGTTATATATATATATATATAATTCAAATCATTTAAAACATATTCTGAAAATTTTAGATTTTTAGCATTTTTTCTAAATTGAAATTTTAAATTTAAAAACTCAAAATATTAAGGATCAAATTCATACAAAAACTATATATAAATTTAAAACTTTTATAAAATCTTTAATAACTTTTTAATAATAATTATTAAAAGAAAATTTTAAATTTAAATATATATAAAGATTAAAAAAAAACTTCTAACGAATTTACAATAATAATAATATAAATAATCTCTATATTTTTAAAAATGTCTCTCTATACATTTATTTATAAAAGCTTTTCTTTTTGTTTAAATTTTTTAAAATAAATATATTATAAATATACAATTATTTTTTTTTTCTATTTTTTTTTTGATAATTTTTATTATAAATTTATTAGAGATTTTATAAAAGTTTCGAATTTATATAGTACTAGGCTACTTATACCTAACGGACCTCAATTTTATACTAAAATATATACATTTTACTTTAATATATTAATAGAAATATAAGATTTATAATAAAATCTTTTTGAGATATTAAAGATCTTTATTGAAAGAACATATGAATCCAATTTTTAGTTTCGAATAAATTTTTTAGATTGAATAATATAAAGTTGAAATTTTCATATATATTTTTTTAAGTTTTTTTTAAGATTTAATTAATAAAATAGAGCAAAAGTATTATTGATTAATTTTTTATCATGATTATATAGTAAAGTATATTATAGAGGTTAAATAACTAAAATAAGAAAACTAAAGAGAAAGAGATCCTTAAGGAATCTCTTTATCTCTTATATATATCTAGTTTAAGTTAGTCTTGAACTAGGCTGTAATAAGTCATTATGTATATTACGTGGTTTTCGTTACATTTTTAAGCTTTATATCTTGTAATCGAAAAAATAAAAAAATAAAAAAAATTCAAATTTTTGTTTATTTTTTGGATTCTAAAGAAAACAAATAAAAGAGATTAAAGCAAGTTATTATTATTTCAATCAATTATATTTCATTAAAATATTTGAGTTTTGATATAAAAGTAGAGTTCGTTAAGTATAAGTAGTCGATAACTGTATATAATTTTTATATAAATCCAAAAATCGATATTTTGAAAACTTAAAAATCGGGTTAGAAAAATTCTAAAAATCTTAATTTTTGAAATAAATTAATATCATTTGAATTATGTATATATTTAATGAATTTTATTTATAAAAAAGAGAGTTAAAAATATGAATTTTGATAGAGAAAAGAGAGTAAATACATATTGAAAGGAACAAAAAGCTTAATTGTATTTTTATAAAAAATTGAAGCTATTTAAGGTGCTAGAAAGCTAGTAAAACTATGCTAGAGGGAGCTATAATATTTACTCTGCTATCTAATCCATCTCAAAAAAGACTATATGCCCTCATATAGAAAATCCAGTTATCCCCTAAAATATAAGGCCAACTACCTCGAAAATGAAACTAGCTTTCAAGCTAAAAACTATAATATACCATCCACTTTCCAACTTCCTAGCATATTGAAGCCTGAATTGTCTTTCCTATTATATTATTATATTATATACAATATCCCTATTGAAACTAAACTATATATAACATATAATCAAAAAACTTGAAAGATAGATATAAAAAAAGATAACTTTATTCAAATTCAAAAGGAAATATTAAAATGATCTGAATATTCTATATTATAATAAAATCCCTAGCTGATATTGAATCACTATATATACTCTAGAGCCTACTAATAGCTCTAATAATATCCTCAAAACCATAAACTTAAAATAATATTATAAAATGTAATTATAGATTGAGTTGTAGTATAAATTAAAAGGTCGAATATTATATTATTGAAAAAAGAAAGAAGATTCGAAAGGTAATTTGAATAAGGTTTTCAAAAAAGTAATTCGAAA